ATGTTAACCTGGCCCGTACATACGTTTTACTATATCTTCATATCTTTTGAATTTAGAAATCATCTGAATCGCCTTTAACATTTATCAATAAACCCATCATAGTCGTTGTTGCTAATCGTATTTGGGTTTATGGATTGGTTTATCGTATTAGCAGCCTAAAATGCGAACATAGTTCATATATTAAGATTAAAAATTTAGGTACTATCAACTGCACTAGTAAAATAACTAAATCCTCAGGTAGCTGTTGGCTAAACAAACGTTTAAAATCAAAACTCCGTAGCCTACTAGAATTAACACTAAACGAATCTTTCTGAATTAAAATTTATAATTAAATTAGGCGTCTCGGATTCTTTAACGTTACAAATTTCGAATCATCTAAAGCAACAATACCTATTTTTCCACTGACTAATCCTCATTCAACACTATAACTAGTTAAACATAATAGTCTCAGGATATCGTCATAAAGCATTGTCATGACTTGACAATCACGTAATATGATTGATAATATTAATGAAACTATTAACATAACCGGTCATCAAATCGACTTATAATTATCACTAGTGTTGTTTTTCTTTTATCTTCATTCACTACAGATGATTACAGTATGTTTCTCTATCGGTTGCTCATTCAGTAAATATCTCAAAACCTTGTCAGTCTAATTGATGGTTTAGCGACACAATTATGCATGCAAATAATCAGTGTAAGCAGTCGAGCAAATCTCCTGTAAACTGAAAAAATCAATGTCGAATTTACCCCAACACTGACTAAGGTTCAAGCCATTATCATAGACATGAGTTGGGAGTGAACTCCCCTTGGTTACAACTTATGTTCTCCCTGATAATCACATGAGCATCACTTACTAATAATCATCTTGTAAAAACTTATTTAGCCAAATACATCTTGCAATACCACATCACTTAGTAATATGACACATAAGCCTAACTGATTTCAATAACTTATAACCACTATATCTCAATTAAATCGTATTCCGCCTTATGATAAACTGCATACTTGCAACTAACTTGTGTGCCCAATCAGCCGGCAAGTATAAATATAAATAAATAGTCTGCCGCAGATCAGAACATTGAGTCTAGAGCATGTCTCTTACGAACACGCTCATGTTTAACGATTTTTTCCTAGCTATCTGTCCAAAATCCATATAATTATCACTCATGTATTTAAATTTTATTTTGATAACCATTCATGTGTATTAGTAGTATTACTAAATTCTATCACGGTCAAGTAAAAATGAGGTTGACAAAATCTCCCCGTAACTAAATAAACCGTATCAAACTAACTGGAACACTAGTTGGAATTCTTCTCCATGGTATACTTTTGTTCCTTCAGTTAGCCTACTAATACAGATGCAATTGGAATTCAACTCATATGAACAACTTACCGGCATAATCGTTATTTGATTTCATAATTTAAACCAAAACTAATACCAATATTAACATTTCTACAATATTCATTACTTTAATATTTCTAAACACAAAATACATACTACCTATGAGTTAAGTTATTAACCAACGGCTATTAACACGCATCGTTTTATTATTATTATTATTGTAACCCCATTTTTTATAGCTCAAATAATCTTCACCCAAATTTTCATTTCAAGTATGTTAAGCATGGAGGCAGATATTTTAAAATTATTACATGTATTTCTCGACCAGGTGCTGCCGCCTTCTTTTTGATTTATCATTCAGCTTATCATTACCCGGGGGATTCTTACTAGTCTTGGTAACCTCCGGCGCGCGACGATCTCATCCGATTTGGTATCGAACCAACACCACGTTGATTCTGGTGGGGGAGTAGTGTAGTGGCATTGGACCATAACCACACAATCCGCAAAGCTGAACATCAGACAACTCGGAAAATAGATATTCAACATTTAACACAGAGAAATACCTAACGATGGAGAAGACGCGAACAATGAGTTGAGTGGATTAGAGTTGATCGAACGGCATGGCTCGGCCATGCAGGCGTGGTCCCTGCTGAATGTTATCTTATTTCTTCTATTCATATTAAATATATTGCTCTTTCTCTAGCCTAACCTTGTTCTACATCATGTATTGGTAATTGGTACGATACAGTGAGTTGGCGTAGTCGATGGTGTGACTTCCACGTAAGGTCTTATAGATTAGGCAATTATATCATGACGAATCTGCAAATTTAGAATTAGGTCTATTATTAGAGCAGCACTAATATCATAGTAGACCATAATTCTACAGATCCACAATGAGATTTCTTGCTGCACATGACTTTACGCGCTATAAATCAGTCTGTTCCGTAAACAGTTCCCTAAACTTTCAAGCAACTTAAATTCATGAAAAATCGCACTTTTCGAAGGTTAAAATTTGGAGCATACTACTGGGAGAAATATAGAGGAATAAGTTGTGATGGTACATCCTGTCATTTCAAACAGCAATAAACCAGTTCACAAAGGCACCAAGTGAAGATAGACTCCATAATCAGATTAGGCCGATCAAAAATTCTGTCCGCAAGCCAAAAGTTGTATTCCTTCATGCAACTCCTCTTTGACTGGCCTAAGCCGAAATTTACCGTTCGTGTGGGTCCAAATGGCCTAACTAACAACGACTGTGTTGCCTCAAATCACCTGGTAAGACAGTATTTTCAAACGTTTCAACCGTCACTTCTAATCTAGTTCAGCGACGGCTTCACCTTCAGCTCAACAGAAATTTTAGAAATAGACCTAAGTATTGGGTTGGTATTCCAGAAACTGCAACATCCGTTTAACAATCAAATCAAATCCTTACTGTGTTTATCCAATCATATTCGAATGTTGCCCTTAGTAACTAGGATCACATGAGTCAATCATATGAGAATCATATGAAAACGTCTCAATGTGAAGGCAATTGAATGAATGGTGGCGTGTGTAAGTTTGAGTTACTAGAAGTTGATATTAAGTGTTAAGTTGTTTTATTTGAAGTAAAAATAAGTGTAAACTGAAGGTTGAAATTGTTTCTGGGCCATCGCTGCGCGTGTTAAATGAGAACCACCAAATACATAATTGTAGTGAGAAAATATCCCAGTTAATTTCTGTCGGAAAAACGATGCATGTTAAATCAACAGGTTGGCAAGAGATATGGTTCAATTAGTTATTAATGAACACTTGACATGGGATGGCTGGTTGAAAACCATCTTTTCTCTTCAGACTAATCTTATTGGTCCCCGTGTACGGTGCTTCTACTTTCACTATTCCTTTACGTGTGCCGAACCCTTTCTAAAGTATTTTGATCCCCTCGAAATCGATCATTTGTCTTGTTTCCAAAGCGAGTAACGCTACCGCCGACCTATCCAAGAGGTTTTTCAGATCAAACGAGGATTTGTGAATATTTTTCAAGTGTAGTTTGTACTCCTTCAACGTTGCATTCAATTGTCTGGAAGTTTCAAATAAGCTGCATTACAGTTATGACAGCTGATCTCATAGACAACATTCCGTTGTTCTTCCTTTGGAAATATATTCTCAACTTTCACTAACGCTGACATTGTGGTGTCGATAACCCACAAACTCAATCTTGTTTTGTTTGTTTAGAATCTCCTTAATTTCTTCCGACGTATTTCCACGGTACGGGATGATCACTGGGGTTATCCAATCTTTCGGCATATACTCTGGTTTACTTTCTCTTTCATCTCTAATAAACTTTGGAAACTCTTTGAGGCATTTGTTAGTTCTAAGCGTAGAGAAAATTCTATTCAATTAAACTTGTTGGTCTCTGTATTCTGCAATGAGACTAACAGTCCTGTTAATTAAAAGTCCACAGCTGTTACTTTCGTACAATACGTGTAAGCCAAACCGTAATCTAATTTCCTAAACACATTCATTTCCAACTCATTATCATGTCCTCTTTGCATCTAACAATCGAGAAACGCTAGTTTGTGGTCATTGGACTCTATTTCCTTGGTTAGCTTGATGCCCTCCATAATGTTGCGACCTTGTAATTTGCTGCATGCTTATCACCCTTGAAAATTTAGTCATACAATCAAAACCGAAGCTCCGCACTTCATTTATAAACCCATTATCTGACTTCAGTTTGATCGGATGATGATGTTTGCGGAACACATAGCCCGCTCAACCTCGTTTGTCATTGCCGACTCAACTCACAGTAGTAAATTACGAAATGAAATAAGCCGAATGCGAGAATGATTCCTGAATAAATATATTTCATTCACCCGTTGACGCAGATAGAAAATGAAAGAAGAGAGAGATGGTAAATGTGCCAACCAAAAACATTACTCGTTGTAAGCTTCGATATGGCCCAAAATTGAAAATACACAATATGACAAGGTAACAGGCATTATGTAAGCTAATTAATGTATAGACATATACATTACCATACATGTAACGTTTCGGCGTAGAAATACAAGGATGTGGACCTAAGAGGCATATACACTAGAGGTCAGAATTTCATAGGAAAGGTACAGAGTTATTAGAAAGTTAAAAATGATCCAATGGTTACATTTTATATTAAGTATTAGAATAAGTTCGAAAGCTAAAATGAGTCACACACGTAACGATACGATATTCCGCACAAACCATATGGTTACCTAGCCAAAACGTCTTGTTGATCACTTAAACAGTGCTCCAGGAATCGAAGGATCTCTCTGTACTGGAGTTATGACTCCTGACGGTGAAAACAGAGATTCCTGGGAAATCACCAGACGGATACTTCTTTTGGCTATCAGAGCAACAGCTAGTATTGGTACATGAGGTTTCCAAACAGTGTGGCATAATACATAACAACGGAAAGACTGCTCAAGTTGCTGAGAAAACGAGAAGATACAACCTGGTGGTGTTTGGAACGAGTGGAACTCATCGGTCGCAAGCTGGACAGAAAAGGCTGGATTCATGATAACTGTTGTAATCTGGTCGGGAAGATGCTTGAAAAACAAAAGGGGTTACACTGATGCACAAAAAAACGCTAAAGGGATGGAAATCTCATGGATTCAGGATCGTCAAATTGTTCAAAACAATGAATGTCACCAAGTACTATGCGCTCACGAATTACAGCAGCAGAAACGATTGTAGAATCCGTTTTAGTAAACACTTGTGAGACATGTGAAAAAATTCCTCAACGTATTTTTGTCGGGCTGACTAGAAGGAATATTTTGTATTACGAGTGACCTTGGCTCCGTAGTGACGTTTTGAATTCGAACTCTAGAGGTCGCGTATATTTCTCTCGAGATGAATCCCATCATCTTCGATGATGTAGCCAATTCTATATTCAAGCTGCGGATGTATCCGTATTTTGATATCGCTAATTACATTTTGATGAGTATATCCGTAAAAGAAGATACTCCTCAATCTGGTATGTACTTAACTTAGCGTGTTATGTGTAGGCTCTGTAAGTTTCTCGAGACGTCATCCATTTTCGTGCTGGTTAGCTACTATGCTTATGTGTTTTGGAGGGGCCATCCTTTCAAATTTCATCACAGGATCACCTCTATTCGAATGTTTTGATGATACAATCTCCGTTTTAACGGCCACTGTTGTATGGTATGTTTTTACTATGTCTATAATTCTCCTTAGGTATCTCATAAATTATTTCCCATTTGATCTTCTGTATCGACTTTGCAAGATACTACCTGTTCGACTACTGGTGTGCTCATTAAAGGAGGTTCAGAGAGCGAAAAAGATTTTTATTGGTGTACATCATGGTCTTCATCTGTTCCCAAACTCGCCTGTGATGTGTGTTCTCCTAGGTCTTTTGAAGGGTGAGTATTGCAAGCTGAATGATACATCTTTATATCCAAACTGATATTTGTAGGTGTTGGTAGTCTATATATGCGTCCTGTTTCGAATTATGTTTTGGGTATCTGGGATCGGAAAAACAATCCATTTATAATTGTCAACTTGTGAGTCAGGTCTTGTTTTAAGTGTTTGTTAAGTCGGATTTACATTGGGAGCTTCTTGGTTCTGTACGCGAGGCTGATTCTAGCCATTTAGATAATACGGACTCTGTTAAATGGCTTTTTAGGATAGCATATGTATATGATTTAATTCACACTTAACTAAACTTTAACTTCTTAATGTGTAACCTGAAACAAATATAGACTGCCCAGTTCATCCTGATACACTGTACTCCTGCTTTGCTTCCACGATCGTGAATGAGGTGCATATGATCAAACTAATTACCATCTTAGCCATTATAAACTGCCCTTAGTAGACTTAGATTTTGCGTAGGAACTGAGAAACAATGGGGAAGTTTGTTTGCTTTGTTTTTTTCCTGGTTAGTCTTAGCAAATTTTTCGTCCATCTAGTATTTTTTAACGTTAAAACCTGAAATATGTATTTTAAAGGATTGATGATCAATCTGGAGTAGGTTTTCGGAATCTCGCTAGGTGCATGTCACAGTGTTTGGCTGGATGATCTCCCATAGGTTGCTGAAGAACTTCATGGTTGATATGGCTCTTTTGCTCAGTAGTATGCTTCTAAAAGAACATGGGGTTCATCTGTTTAAGTCGCCTTTATATTATTTTATCTACATTAATTAGCCACTCATAGTCAGTAAGTGCACCTGCTTCACTGCAGTTGATTCTAAACAATGTCATCCAACGTCACCCGCCATTGGTTATAACAGGTGTACATACCCGTCAGGTGGTGTGCACCTACCAACACGACTCCATCCAACATTCAAAGACTTCATGTACTGATGATACGCCTTGACTTGTCCTTTAACTTTCAATCCCGATTGGGTTTTTGCAAACACTTTTTCTTTTGTTATTTATTTATTTATTTGAACACATAAATATTAGTACAAGAGGGCACCAAATATATATGCGCACACAGAACAATGGGAACGGAAATAGAAAAAAAGGTAAGGTACGTAAAAGAAAGAAAGAATAATAACGACCAGATTAGTTTAAGGTAGTGTAATAATAATAATAATAATAATAATAATAATAATAATAATAATAATAATGGAGGAAACGGAAAGGTGCAACCAGAAATCTTCCAGTTAAGGAAGATACAACCACTTTTTATGAAGAAAGTGAAAAAAGTTTACAGCAGGATCACCACTGGTTTCTATTCTGAGCCATATTTGATAACGTCTCTAGCCACTGTGTCGCACTATCTCTCGGACCCCAACCAGGGAGTCGTCAAGGACCAACAGAAGCCAGCCCTCTGCAGTTTTCTTTCGTACCACGACACCATGTCATGCACTGACCACCTCTTCGCTTTTTCCAACCAGTCCCAGAGTCGGCAAATAATGCACGACTTGGAATTCTTTGGAACGACATTCGTAGAACATGTCCAAGCTACCGAACTCGATGTTTCAAGATAGTGATACCAATTGAATTATCGTCTCTGTGCCCGAACACACGATGCCGAATCTGCATTACTGACATGGTGTTGCCGCTGGATGTCAGCAATCCTTCGGAGACAATGATGATCAAACCCAGAGAGTCGTCTAACATCATCAACTCGGAGAGGCCAGGTTTCACAAGCATAGAGCAAAACTGATCTCACCGACGCGTTGTAGATCTGACCTTTTACAGCCAGACTGACCTCACGAAGGCGCCAAAGGTGGCCCAGATTGGCATAAGCCGCTCTGGCTTTCACTATACGTGCATTGATCTCATCACTGATGCCACCACTAGCATTTATGCAGCTACCTAGATACACGAACTTTTCGACTACTTCTATCTGCTCACCATCCAGGATGAGTACAGGATTAGAATCCTGCCAGTCTTGTAGAAGAACTTTGCACTTCGAAGGTGCAAAGCGCATACCGTACCTGCGGACATTGATTGCCAACTGATTAAGTGAAGATTGTATGGCTTGGACATTATCGCACAGTAAGACCATATCGTCCGCATACTCAAGGTCGAGAAGTCTTTCTCCAGGCAACAGATCCACACCACCATTACTCACATTCATCAGAGCTGTTTCTAGAATGTCATCGATGGCAAAGTTGAAGAGGAATGGTGAGATTGGGCAACCCTGCCTAACCCCACTGCTCGAATGGAACAATGGAGAGAGGTGGTTGTATGCCCTCACTCTATCTGAGGTGTTTGTGTATAGGGCTTTTAGGATGTTAATAAACTTCTCAGGCACACCCTTCTTCAATAGACAATCCCAGAGAACAGTCTTATCCAACGAATCGAAGACAGCCCTGATGTAAAGAAACACTACGATTGTTGGCCTTTGATAAGTATGGCGGTGTTCTAACATTTGGCGGAGGGTGAAGATATGATCAATTCATCCTCGACCAGAGCGAAACCCACCCTGCTCCTCGCGAGTCAATCTTTCCCGGGTTTTGAACAACCTACGAAGTATGACCGAAGCCAATAGCTTGGATGCAATCGGAAGTAGACTTATCCCCCGATAGTTTTTACAGGAACGACGTGAACCCTTTTTAAAGATAGGGACAACTATCGACTCATTCCATGACGTTGGTACACTCTCTAGTTCCCAAACCTTTTTAAACAACGTCGTCAATTCCTTAGTCAGAAAGTCACCACCATCTTTAAAAAGAGCCGGAGGTAAGTCATCTGGGCCAGGTGATTTGTAGCGCTTCAAGAGTTGGAGTTCCTTGCGGACTTCCGCCTCATTCGGTGGATCAGTCGTCACCGGCCATGGAGGGCAGGACAGTCTGACCGATGTTGCCGGAGCAGCAGGCCAGTTGAACTGCCCTTCGAAAAATTCTGCCCATCGTCCAAGACGTCGATGGATGTTAGTGATTGGCATCCCACCATCCTCGCAGATTGTTTCGCTCACACCAGACTTCTTGCTGTCAGTGGCTCGGATGAGTTGGAAAAGCTTCCGGTAATTACCAGATGCAGCTGCTGCTTTCAACTCATTAGCACGCTCCGACCACCAGGCTTCTCGGTCCTTACGCAAGCTTTGCCCAATTTCCTTACGTAACAGCCTTCGTTTGTGGTTGTAAGGAGCCTGAAGAAACCCAGTACTTATAAGTGGGACGTTTCGCGAAGCCGCAAGCGGCTTTACTCGCCATTTCGATGGCGTCATGAATGTGCAACCCGTGCTCATCTATACTTTCTGGTGGGATGGTTGCTAGCCTAGAAGCTAGCTCGGTTCGATACTTAGTTGCAACAGAAGTTGCAACCAATTTGCTGTCATCAATCCGTTGGTTTCTTTTAACTGTTTAGGTAAATGTATACTGTACTGACAATATTAAACGACTTATCTACCGGTCAGAAGAGTGTTTTCAGCTATTTAGCGATTTATAATATAAGTAATAAATTCAGACAGACGAACATTTTTGACATTATTAATTAACATGTACATAATCAACTATTGATTTCAGTAAACGAAAAAAGGTGAGGGCTAAGAACTAGCAGTTGGGTTGGGGTTAGGAATTAAGATTCGCGTTCTCACAATTGATGACCAGCTATAATACAAGAATGCTTTGTAGCCTTATGGATGTATGAATTTTGCTTAAAAGTTTAAGAGGCATTTTGAATCTGACTAATCCGTCCATAGGTTATGGTACCGCCACCCTATCTTAAATGTGATTGGTTTTTTAGTATAGTATACTCTTACCACTTGGTACAATACTACATTGACCTTCATTATGTGCAATTCAACATATAATTTTTACCTCAGGTTGTTAGTAAGTAAACTAAACCATTAAAACATAGAACTTGATCGATAATTAAAAAAATATTATACTAGGTGACTAGATAATTTACTTCACGAAGACTAAATCATTCCATTAAGCACTTAACCTAAAGTGTCTAATGAAATTCAGCTTAGAAGCCTACATTTAACCACAAGATTCAAACCAGTAGCTCATTTGCCAATGCGAACTTCTTATAAACATCTAAAAAATCCATTCTACTGCTTGGGCTGTCGAAAAGATAGCTCAGTATCAATCAATCTTCGTCTGTCCCTAGATTTCAAGTTCAGAAATTAATTTGCACGTCTTATTCCTCGAATTCCTTCCAGAAGCATATTCTACATGCTTAATCCTTTTTGTTATCGTTGATATCATTGATTTGGTACTCATCTTGATAATTTGATCTCCTTGGGTAGATATGGCCAGTTAAACTGATGTAAATTTGCAATAAGTTTTATGTTGTTTATGACTAACTGTCAGAAAGACAAAGATGTTTGGCTATATGAACTTAACTACCATTCAGTCCACAACTCAGTGTTATCTAAAAACTGACTGCAGTTTTTAGATAGTTCGGAAATCAATAATGTTGAGTATGAATGGTTGCTGTTATTTATTAAAATGGTACGTGACCCTGACAGTCATAATGCTGCGTAAGTCATTTATACAGACAGATTAGTCAGGTCTGTAAAATGCAAGGATTTACGACTTTCAAAGTTGGAAATAATGTCTTGTGTGTGCCGAACTGGATGGTTTGTGGATACATTTTTCAAAAGTCAAAGTAACAGCTTTAATTAGTGTAAGTAATGAAAAGTAGGAGCTGAATAAAGTAATATATGACCAGGGAAAGTAATCTGTCATTGTATTTTACTTTGGAAAATATAGGTTGTTGCACATTGGTTTGTTCACTAAGTTTTCGATCAATTGATGACGGATTCAAACTACTTTGCTCATTAGGTTTCACAATAAAATTAAATCATCACCTTCAAATTATTCTTTACGACTAATAAACTATTGTGCCATCGTGGTGTATAGTTTGGGTTATTATTGACGTAATACTTCAAAAGGCTTAAAATAATGTGCTTTTTTATTCGGTGTTTTGCATTTTTTATTCTTTTGTTATCAAACTAATCTTTACATATTCGGAAATAAAATGACGAAACGATATATTTGATATTCTTTGATTGTATCATTGAAATAGACAATTAGACTTTAATGGTTTTCAAGTATTATTACCAAATTTCGACTTGATAATTTCATATAAATTGAGCTTTCAGAGGATTGTTTGTAGTAAAGCAATATACTTATAACATTCCAGTGAGTAAGCAAATTGAATTTTTGATATCTCGCGACTTAGTATAAGCAACTTTTCCAGAGAATAAATAAAAGAGTCGACACAATTTTCTACTCATTGGGATATTATAAATATGCTGTTATTTGAAAGGTTTTGCTACTCCTTATTTGTTAGTCTTTCTTGACCTATTTCGTTTTTATATTATCCTAATACATCCATTCCTATTGATTTCCCCCGTTATTACCAAATATGGCAATTTTTAAACCGAACACATTCTACTACTTATCATAATCATCAGCCAGAGATCTGGTTCAAGGTTATTTTTCAAATGACCAGGTAGCAACTAGTCATCCACTAGCATAAATATTCCCTATCTATCGAGTCTAAATTCGACCACTAATATATAGGCTGAGAATTTAAGTGGATTGATAGATTAGCTTTATTTCTCACCGTCGTACGCTCTTATCGTAGCAAACACTGAATAATTTGACGGACACTTTTTTCATCGGAAGAAAGCCGCCCTCTCCTCCTAGTAAATAGTGATGAAGCCACATAGCATGATAATACATAATGTTCATTTCAAAAATAAAAAAGGGTTCTGAAGAGCTATTCAATCATTCAACTATGCATGAACCAAAACTTAATGAGCTGCCGGATAATGTACAGGCATGTTACATTCCTACTGTTTGGGCGTATATATAGCATCGTGATTACATGATATATCACTATTGACTATATCTGTGTTCTAAAAAGCATCACTAGATATACTCCGTTATTGTTGTTTTGCCTATATCCTATTTACCATTCATCCTTTCTTTCCAATAATATAGGTGCAGGCTATTGTGAGATGAAATTAATACAGCGTCTTGTTCGTGGTGTATGGCTACCAGCAACTAATGAATTTCTCCATCCCACTTTGTAAGATTTAGTTTCTCTAAACAACGCATGACTTTCTGCATGGACCTACCTGGAATGGGAGATGTGTTAGCTCTTAGTAGTTTATAGTTTATTCCTCCTGGTTCCTAGATAATATTTAATCATTTCTATTTTGTTTTTCTGTTAATAAAATGTTTTAGCACTACAAAAATTTCGTTACTTGCCGCTATTGCATATTATTGTCACCATTTGGATATAATACCGTTACCGGAAAATCAATTATTCCTAGTTATAATGACTTTGTTTGTTTACCTCAGGTAAGCTAATAACGTTCATAGTTCGTTGCTTTAAATTTTATGTAAGCATAATTCATTCTCAGTGTATTTTTTCTAGCTTGTATTCCTCACTCTCTCCCTGTATTTTTTTCTAGAAAACTCTGTTTTTAATCATTTTTTCTTGTTTGCTTAATATTTATGATTATGAAAAAGTGCATTTTCCTCAACCAAATTTTCATACAACATTTGCAAACATTAAAGATTTCATTTTGGTAAACTCTATGCAGAGGTTAAACGGTATGTTAGTGAGTGAATAAAACATTTGTATACAATTGTTTAGTTTAGAACTGATATGGTTGTCATCATAAATCCATTCTCTAGATTCCATATTTTTCGGTATGGGGATTTGGGAAGTTAGAATCATGAGTCGGTCTAAGCTAGACCACCATTCAAAACACTGACGGCCGTTTCGTCCTAGAATGGGACTCTTTAGTAGTGAGCATCCACGGTCCCTCACGCGGGATTCCAAGCCAGGGTCTTCGGTCTCGCGTGTGAACCCTTAACCTCTAGACCACTGAGCTGGCATCTAACAGTGTTAATGTCTAACTTCAATCGATCAGTGATCTTCACAACCCCTTTATCCATTGTCTGATGTGGACTATTATATCAAATTGTTTTTGTCGAATGTTTGTGTTACCCTAGTGACTGACTTGTTTGTTCTTTTTCTTTTGGAATGATTCATATGATCTTAATTGTATATAACAATGAATTCTTCAAACCCTTTATATTTTTACGACGTGTCATATTCTATCCAAAGTGTCTAGAAACTCATTATTTATCTTGAAAGGTGTGTTGAGTTGTCGAATATCTTGGAAATATTTATCATATGAATATATAATTACAGTGTTGAATTTTGTTTCACAGATATTATTGTAGCGAACGAACACTCAGGTGGAGAAGATCAATTTATCGTTTAATGTAAAATTACAGATTACTTTCATAAAATAAGTAAACCTTACATTAGGTACATGATTTGCACATCTTCCATCAGTTGTCTTTTACGTGATTCCTGATTCTTTCAATTTCGTTGTTATTACAATTCTTTTATATTTTCCCTTTCTGTTTTTTTTTCAATTTAATCTTCCCAATCCCCGCCAGACATACATTCCATTTCCGACTGTGTTACATACTACTTATATCTGTCAACATAAGTAGCATACACATTGTTTTCAAAATTCAAAGTAAAAAATAAGTCTAGTGATGTTAGTGTAAATAGTTTTAAAGTATTTTTCATTTTCAATAGCTTAAGTATTCATGTGAATGTTTTAATTTCAAAAGTTAGTACTTTCAAAAAGACTCGTAACATTATGCTTATATATTCAAAAACACTTGTACGAAGTTCTATAGCGATTATTTGCTTGAAGTTTTAACATCAATATCATTTACCGATCGTTTTGAATTAAGTGACGAATATCTAATGAAATAACAGAAGTTTGATCCAATTACTAAAGTGTTTCATGTATTTAGTGCTTAATGATGATCATTTAGTCCAATACATTCAAAAGTATGTGAATTAAAACTATTTATATGGCAAGTGTAATTGCGTATGTGATTTGCAAACGCCCTTTGTGATATGCTTTTTTCTACCTACATTATTTAGTTTTTATCTGATTGATTAACAGTCGTGCATAGTTGTTGTAATAATCTTGAAGTATCTGTATACTTCTTCATTCTCAGAATTACTATGATTCTACTGGGCTTAAAAGATCCATTTGTACCGTTTGAGAATGCTGTTTGCAAGCTGTTGTTTGGTGGTACTGTTGACGCTATTCGTAGTGCTTTTGAACGTAGTCGTAGCAAGGCATCTGAAGCTATGCCTTCAAATTTGTCAAATGTTAGTGGAACAACCTCTTCATCAACTGCCAATATGACTGGGAATGCAAATTTCTCTTCAACTAGTACGGGCACAGGACAAAGCAGTCAAGGTTTACCTAATAGTAATGCAAATAGTTTCAATTCAAGTGGTCTACGTGACGCTGCCAATCGTCAAACACCATCTTCAGGTGATAAAAAACGTGACTAGTATTATACCAAACAAAATATCTTGTAGACTTACCTGTTTTATCTGTCACCTCTAAATGCTTCTTCCTTCAAGGGAATATTATCCATATTCCAAAATTCATACCTTAGTTGGGTATGTTATGTAAATTAGATCTCTTCTTTCTGTATGTCCTTGCATTTATCCATGAATGTTTACATGATGAACAAAGTTAATGTTTGCTTCTAGATTGATTTGTTGTTCAGTTAAATGTTAATTTTTTCACTATTAAATTATACATTTCACATAACTATTGTTTTATGCATCTTCTATACTTTAAGTCTTATAGTTCCACGATTTGTTTCTCCTCTTTTCTTGTATTGTGGAACTAAAATGCAAATCAGTTAAGTGTAGTAAGTATACGCCTACGTGTACGTTCCACTGCGTTTCGTTTTTTTCTACATTTCTTCGCCGTTTCCCACTAGATTTCTGTAACGTTGAGTTTTTATTTTACAAACTGTCCTATTCTTGTTGTTATTCTCTTTGTAATTCATTTTGTTTACACTTCTAATTACCCGATTTATCAATTTGTCGGTTGTTCTTCCAATCCTTTTTCCCTTCCCATTTCTATCCCATTCCTAAATGTATCTCTCTATACTTTACTGTTACTATACTCCTCAAGGCCTTAATTAAGATTGAGATTAGTTTGATTGTTCGATAGGATCTCAGCTTTTTGTCTGTTTATTCTATAAATTGGAAATTTGTATACAAGTCAGTTTTTATTTTAGAGAAAATAATACTGTTCAATTGTAAATGATAATAAGGAACTTGGTTAGTAGACTGGTGTTCAATGTGAAGAATGTTATGCTCTTACAAAGTGTGGATCGTTAATCTGAATAAAGTTGATCCAACCTATTTAGTTAAATATAACTTAGATTATGACATAGATGTACAAATCGATCAAGGTACCGAGCTTGATATCAGAAAACAAGACGAAATTAACTAGGCTAAATGCTGAAAAGTCGATGTAATGTTCCTAAGTATCAGAGAGGATTACATGTGCTAAGTGTAATTATAGGACAACGTATGAAATCAGTGGAAATGGAAAGTATGAATAAATAGCAAAACTCGAAATCTATCACTGAGTTGTAGACCATAACGAGTGGTGTCCGAAATTTGATATCGATACACGACGTGCTACATGTTAATCCTCACTTGACTGCTTGAGTGGGAACGCAAGAGTGGACAGAAAAGTATATTGGGCTACAGAATAAAATGCACAAATACTCATATATATATATATATATATATATATATACGTCTTAGAAAACCAGTCCATTTCTTGGTCAATGATATGCACTTGTCCTTCGGGTCACTTCTGATTACCATTGATTGGCATTCGACTACATCTGACTGCCTCGCCATTTTAAAACTGCAAATTACGATCATAATACGGACCTCAACCAGGTATGATGCATCTCGCGCTACGGGCTTAACCCAACTGACAGTAATTTTATGAACTGATCTGCCCATCCAACTCCATTTTGAATATACTATCGCGTTAGCCGGGAGAGCAAAACAGGATGGTTAGTGGTTGTTCATATGTGACCTATGTCTAAAAGACTCGATTGAAGAAGGTTTGTATCTCAGCCCTACGTTCTATTTTAAGATTATTTTTCGGGCAATCGCTCTGTATATCATTCAGTGTGGCGTCCAGCATATTGTTCATCCACCTAATTGGTTTAGATGTCTGCGGGGATTTCTCATTGTTTCACTGGGATGAAGTTTGATAAGGTGTTCCATGTTAAAATTTCTCATAACCGTCCATTTATTGTTGTTCGATGTCATCATGTGACCTCGGTAGTTCCTTTTATTTTGTTATTTATGACGTGTCGGGAAGTCAACACACAGGGCTTCGCTTTGATCTAGGACTTGTTCCTTACATTTTACAAATTGAATCCCTCTTTACCGCTATCAATGTGTAAAAGACTTCACATTAGTTTGTCTCGTACGACGTGTTGCTGTTGCTGCAATCAGTTTTCTACATTAATATTGAATTTAGAGAACTGACTTAATGTTTGCTCAACTCTGACTTCGGAGTTACAAATTTCTCATGAAATCTATAACATTTGTTACTACCAACGTGATATTTTGTTTGGTTTTCACAGCAAGGCAGTTTTACTTGTTTTTCTTCAACAGACCTCATCGAATAGCGTAGAAATCCTCAGTGATAATCACTCAGAATCCTAAACTATTGCCTAGGATCTTCAAGTCTAGCGTTAAGTCGTAATCTAGTAGTCCATTAGTCTTTGGGATAATTCACGTATATGTCAGCCTCTACGTCAATTGGGACTGACCAGTATAATTAAATAGCAATTATAAGTTCATCTTAGATTCTCGGAAATTATTTATTTATTTTAACACATAGATATCGGTACAAGGAGGCACTAAATACATATGCGCCACACAAATCTTATTCGATATGTGTGAGGGCTGTGATACTGCACGGGTGCCCAAACCGAAGCAGGTGGTTTTCTCAGGGGGCCACACCCGGAGCCTTCGACCTGAAGGTCTGATCCACAAGGCAGTGGAGCATCGTAAGGAGATGCAGTCCCATGGTAGCCGGTGACCAACGATTGGTTCATACGCCATTTGTCTACTCAGGAAACTGGAGCCCATGTGCACCATTGGTTTGGAATCCGGTTAAAGCGCCGGACATTCGCTTTTCGTCCTCTCAATTTCGTAAACAAGACCCCCGCCACGAGGAGGCAGTGAGTATGACTTCCCTGGAAGAGGCTATATACGCCATGTGAGAGCATTTCGAGATGGAGAGCGAACTCTCCCCACTCTCGGCCGTACCAGGGCATTTGGGGGCTATTCCTAGCTGAAGTGATTGAGGAATGTTATGAGAGACTTGTATCTTGAGACATTTTTATTTAAGTTTTTGATTGTCGTTTTATACAACGTCATCAAAACGAAACATCAGCAGTAGGAATTAATCCATTATCAGTTTCTGTCTAACTTTGGCTTTCAAGTTTTTATTGAGTAAATAGTCTACACTCTTCTTTCGTAATAGGCATGATATAACATGAGTCGTAAACATTTATTATTCCCAGATAGATTATGCATGACCTACCAATCTAAGATTCATCCGTAGTGCATACTACTTTAAAATTATAACAATAATTGCTCGGTTCAATGTTATGTACTTAGAATAATATAAAATTCTCAGCATACAATTCTTCTGATCTTATAAAAAATTTAAAAAAGCCCAGCTGTAAATTGACAACCTATTCATCTCAGATTCTATGTGATAGATACGTTATATTGTAGAACTTTTGTACTGAAATCCATATACTCTTCTCAAACTTGCTATAATACTTTAGGTAAAACATGATCAATCCAATGATCAGAACTAAGCACTAAAATACATTTACAAGTCATGTTAGCTTTCTACATCATTAATGGAAACTAAGTCTAAATGTATATCAAAATGAATGAGGAAATCGATCCAGATATGAAAGAAACAATTCAAATCCAGTACTTCCAAGTTTTCAATGGTTGTCCAGTTTAAATCCACTCGTCAATTCAACTGTGAAAATCCAAGTTACAACCAAAAAAATATGTATTTTTTCCCCTACATTTGCTTATCTATACAAAAACAGTAACTATCTTATCCTGAATATAAAAAAATGCAGTTGAATGAAAGAAGAAAACAAAACAAGAGAAGAATTGGAACTATTACAATTTAGTGCATGTATGCATATATACATACACACATGTACATATGAACAAAATATCTTCACATTACTTGGTTATTGTTTTTTTCTTACTCTTTGAAGAAAAAATGGAGGGAACTGAAAACAGGTTATAAGAAATCAACCTTATGTTTAACATTGAACAAAATAGGATTTTATTGTATTCATTGAATATAGGCATTTCATATTGATATGTAAGTGTAAGTAATGAAGGAAAAGTGAAGTGAAAGGATGATCAGAGAAAGTATATATATATATATCTTTACACAAAAGATTTATGCAAGAAAAAAGAGTAGTAGTAAAACACTAGATCATTTCTATAAATTAGGAAATCATTTATTCAATAAAAACCTATAATGATCCAATAACTTGACATTGATACTGTTCGTATAAGGAAGAAAAGAAATCAATTAACCCCTAATAAAACTTGTATACATTCAAGTATGGGATTTTATCTATTCATCAGCTTCAACTGACTCATGATCTCAACCATTGAAATTACTATAATATCCACAAAACCCCTTTTGATATTCATCATTTGTCAATGATAGTTCTATTATTGTATTCTACTATTCTAATTGGTTTGAACTATCCACTTGGATGTAAATTATAATGTCTAATTGTTTAACATGAAGAGTAGAATGGATCATACTTTGAATATTTATGAAAATAAAAATATTCCTATCATCTAATTACAATGCTCCATGGGGAGTAACAGGCGTAAGCATAATCAAATTACAATGGTCTATTGAGAGTAACAGGGTTAAGTAAGTAAGTAAGTAAGTAACGTCAAATTACAATGCTTCATTGGGAGTAACAGGCTTAAGTATGTAAGTATGTAAGTAACATTAAATTACAATACATCATTTCAAATCATGTCATTGTCAATTGTAAACATTGAATATATAGAATAATATACATCTTATTAAAAACATTAAACAAATCATAGACATTGATAATTTAATACGTTTCTTAGATAAATTATAATCAGGACAATATGGACAAGCGAAACTACCACATACATTACAGATATTATTTGTATATAATGAAACAACATTATATAATGAATTATTATAACGACCTGTAAATATAAATAAATGGATAACAGAAAGATAAACGATAATATTCCAAGTAAACTATCATTGTTACTTTTAAGAATAATAAAGTAAACATAAACATCCTAATTATTGAGTGGCTTGAAAATGAAGAGTTACTTAAATGTTGAAATGAAGAACAAGTAACAACAGACTAGAAAGAAAGACACCTGATCAAGATACTAAAGAAAAACGATCTCAGCAACTGTGATAACTACAGGGGCATCACTCTTCTCTCAATACCAGGAAAAGTCTTCAACAGGATATTGTTAAACAGAATGAAGGACTTTGTATACGCCCAACTTTGATATGAACAGGCTGGATTCCATAAGGATCGATCGTGTATCAATCAAATCGCAACATTACAGATCATTGTGGAATAATCAATTGAATGGAATTTAGCACTCTACATCAACTTCCATGACTATGAGAAACCATTTGATAGCGTGGACAGGACAACACTATCAGTAAAAACATATTATGGGAGAGAGCAAACCAGATCCCAGCGGAGGAAGAAATCAGGGAGAAGCGCTGGAAGTGGATGTGACACACATTGAGGAAAGCACCCAACTGCGTCACAAGGCAAACCCTCACTTGGAATTCAAAAAGCCAAAGGGAAACAGGAAGACCAAAGAATACATTACACCGAGAAATGGAGAAAGACATGAGAAGAATGAACAACAATTGGATAGAGCTAGAAAGGAAGGCCCAGAACAGTGAGTTGGAGAATACTGGTCGGCGGCCTATGCTCTGTTGGGAGTAACAGGCGTAAGTAAGTGAGTAAGTAGTTTAGTGACTAACTAAAACGTTTAAGTGAACTTTTCTGTAATTGTTTAGTATCAGTATGAAATTTTAACAATTGAATCAAGTTGATATAGAATAGATGGAATGTGAATAGCAGTGGAATTCTATCTGGGAGTCATCAGCTGAATGTGCCTGGATTCTGGAGTTGATGTCTACTCTGAGAATCGAACTCAGTATTGGTCGGTTCAAATGCCACCAGATTATCCATTTAGCTTCGGAGTCCAGATAACTTGTATCCGCAGTACAAGTAAGTGGCTATTTAATCTTGGTAGCTACGTGGATGACGTGATGGTGTTTGAAGCGGATGGTACTGGGTTGAAGTTCTGGAGGACACAGGTATATCCACCTGACGAGTCCCAAGTGGGACGAGACGCGTGTTTTGGATTCCATTTACATCCCACGTTCCATCTATTCTATATCAACTTGTTTCATAATGGCTATATTGAAGCATACACACAGGATGCCTCTATGCCAACCAAGTTTGGTCAAATTTCAGTCGAAATATCAACAGCAGAATAGTCAAAGTCATTTCAAATTGAATCTAAACTGAATCATCAATATACCATTACCTTAATCTATATGGAAATGTAGCTTAAAAGTATTGTTTGGTGACTGAGTTATAAACTTTCCAAGTATCAGAAGTTCATAATTTTCGAGAGATAGTCACGACTTAATAATGATGATTAAAAAGACGACTGAAGTTTTTGATAATAGTTAACCAAATAAAACCGTTGTGAACAAGTGGCTGAATTGTCTTCTTTGATATTGTAGTTAACTAACTAGTCTGTAAAATGAATGTTACATTTACTCCTCAGAGATTACCAGAATTTATTCGTGAAATTAAACAACTTTATTAATGATAGGTTAATGTTAAGTGATGAACGCTGAGTATGATCTACATTGAAATCATGAACCGATCAGTGTTAGACCACCACTAAAAGCCTGGAAGAACTAGGAGGCTATTTTGTCCTAGTGTGGGACTCCTCAGCACTGCACATGCACTATCCCGCACGAGGGAATCGGACCCAGAACTTCCAGACTCGTGTGCGAACGCCTAATCTCTAGACCACTGATACGCGATGCAATAGTGTATAGATCTAGCTTCAACTTTGATTGGTTTGTGATTTCAATGAAATTCAATTATCTCCACAACCCCACACTAACAATCATCATGTGATTACTCGTGACTAGCTTCAAGAGGAAATTCCCGGAGTTCCAGTGAGAAGCTACGACCAGTATGGGACTCCTCGGAAGTGCGCATTCACGATCCCTCATGCGTAAATCAATCCAAGGAGGCGGAACCCGAAAAGTTGGATCCTAGCTCAGTGATCTGGAGGTTAAACGTTAACACGAGACCGGAATCCAAGTTAGACAAGCATTGAAAACCTGTAAGCGTTGGATAACTGTTTCATCTTAGCATGGGACTCTCCAAGAATGCATACTCACGATCCTGACATCGGGGATCCAATTATGTACAAGTCTAACTTCAGTCAATCCGTGATAACAGGCGAGTGTCTTCCATTGTCCATCGTTTCTCACTAGAAAGTTCTCAATGGATGTCTAACTTAGATCGATTAGTGCTCTCCATAAACTAAGCTGTCTAGGGAAACACTGAAATCAAGGTAAAAAAATCGACTACTCACTATTCGATTCTATTCAATTTTGGACAAGAACAACAAAATATTACCCATTTACCTGGTTCATAATATTCGTAAGCTGAGCATCTGTGCTGCTGTGTTATATTCGCCACTGGATAGTAACGTTCAGCTGTAAACTGTACGCATGTTTTATCCGGTGTAATCTGATATATAAGTTAATAACAAAAAATATAGTGAAATTTCTGATCTACTGAGATCAGTTAGATAGAAAATCGTAACGTAGATTTCATACAGTTTCTAGGGTACTGAGATGATTTATATATATATCGTCGTGATGTGAAAATCTTATGCTGTCAGAGAGATTTGCGAGACCGAAGTCAACAATTCGTTTCAAGCATACCAGGTTTAAGATAAATGAATCTGTAGTGTCGGTTGCTATGTCAAACACACATAGCTTATTCTAGCTTTCAGACAGACCAATTTATTAGTTCTTTTTGATTCACATTTTTACCCTGTCACTTATTCGCTCATTAATCTTGACTGTTTTTATGTAAGCTTATGTGTGTGTATTTCCTATCTTACTCATCATATGTCTGTAACTTAATTTTGTCTGACTATAAATATCGATCCACGCTTAGTTAAATCGAGTTGGCTCACGTGTCTTTTCCACCGCACATCACTTCGTTTCACTGGTCGTTTGTCTGGATCACTGATTGTACGAAATATACGTATATGCGATTTAAGTCGACACCAATCATTCGGCCGATCCATTTGAAGTCAGACATTCGAGGGCCACAAACAATTGAAATAGATCCCTAACAACTTATCCAATTCATTTTAATGCCAAAACTAGTTAAACATACCGAGATTTGATCATACTGCTGCGTTACCTTCATGAATATCTAGAAGACTATAGAGTTTGAGTATTAAGATCTTTGTAAATTTTATTACTTTTAGTATATTTTAATTTTCTTTTTAACAAATATCATATCATATTCAGTTTTCATCTTCACATGAAATTAATTAGATGTTACAGTAATACAAGAAATACTAAACACAATAAAGAACGATGAATTTAACTTCTTATTATCAGATTTATTTATTAAAAGTATCTCATATTCTAAAACAGTTCCAGTTAAACAATGAAGTAACTGGATATTGGCTAGCAGTGGAATTCAGGACACGCGTTTCGTTCTATTCCGAATTAGTCAGCTTGATGTGCCTGCATCCCAAAATTGACGTTCACTCAGGGACTCAAACCCAGTACTGTTCACTTCGAATACCATCGCGTCATCCACATAGCTACTGGGTCCAGATAGCCACTAGCTTGTACAATGAGGTGAAGTCTAAATTCATATTGTATTGTTTGTTTGAGTCTTCTTATTGATGTTTAAGACTGCAATCGAGCATATGTAAATATGTAGCATATGTAAACATCAAATCTGGAATGAAGGTACATCCAGTTGAAGAGCCCAAATAGAACGAAATACGCGTCCTGGATTCCACTACTAGCCATCGTCTATCTCTGCTTGGAATGCTTGTGACTTAAGGCTATACCGAGGCAATCCGCACAGGATATACATAACCCAATAAGAGACTAATCCATTGCAGTCCTAAACATCAATCGGAAGATTCAAACAAACGACAATACAAAAATGAATAAAATAACTGGTTTATCAAATAATATTACTGATAATCAGATACATAGAACCACCAACTGCTCTTAAATCGCATAACATCATACACAAAATTATAGGCTTTTCTAAATGTATTAAGTTATTAATAACCATTAAAATAAATTTCATGGAAAGTTATTATCAACATGAATATAGAAATGAATAATCATTTCCAAGTCTGTCATATACATATTCTTTAGAATAGTTAGTTTGGCGGGAAAAAAGTATTTGTATAGTTTAATTTCAACTACAAGTATTCAATAATCAAATAAATTAATTTAAAACTTCCATTACTAAGGATTCTATTGAACAAGAAAATTTGGCGAAACTATAATTTACGGATGAACCAGTCAGATTTAGGATAACAGGTCTTGGATTTTGGCTAGAAATTTATTCACCCATTTGGCTAAATAGAGTTTTGGCATTGTAGCTGATGTCAGTTCGTGATGAAAACTCTAAATCTGATTCCTAACCCTGACCATCAACTGTAAATCATAATTCTAATTCCTTACCCTAACCACCAATTGTAAATCATAATCCTTTTTCTTCACACTGCTTTATAACCCTAATTTATCCTTAGTAGGTAGGTGAACGTTTTCAAGATCACTTTAGCGTCACTCCATAAATTATAGTCACAGCAAAAGTTTTAATAAACGTTTAGTTTATGAATTCATTACTTACTGTATCAAAAAAGAAATGTACATATCTAGAATTGGCACGTGCATAGCGTAGATTTGGAACCATAAGACTATTAACATATCGTCTTAGATCATCATTTAAAACTATGAAACCTGTTGGTAGTCCAATTTCAAATACAGCCATCCCACTTTGAGGTAATGGTTCAATACCCTTTAGATGAAATACAAAAGTTTAATATAAAATAAATTTTTAAAAGAAATTAATTTGAATCTGTTTGGCAACTACATAGAATCTTTTTAAGATCATATAAAAACTCACGGTAAACAATGATACTGAATGATTTTCTATTTCTCAAACTAATAAAGAATAAAGTCAGTATGTTACAATTACACATGACTACACGAAGGACTGAGTCAGATACATTGAGATTGCATGATGTCAAAAACTATGTACATCTTGAAGCTTCATGTATAAAGTTTCCTTTATCTTCTTTGAAGAGAGTAAGAGCACAGTTGTGATGAGGATTATTTTAATCAAATATTTATTTTCGTGTTTTCTAAAATCTTGATCACTGTTTTATATTCAAGGAGAGATAAATTCTCTTTAATTCTAGCAAAACTAGCTAACCGAACAGAAAAACGACGTTCAATTTCTTTGGAACGAACTTGTATTTATTTAAGGTATAACCAAACCTGGTTAGTTGTCTTGATTTTTTTCTCATTCACTGATACCAAATAGCTAAAATAAACTCCTCCTTACCAGCACCCATTCTGATCACAAGTGGGGTAATATAAGTTGATGTCCTAGGATCTTTGCAATTTAAAGCTTAAACAAACGATAACATCTAGTTGGTAATGTCTGTTTTGTGTGCAGATGATATTTAAGTGGTTTATTCTTTTTCCTGAGCTTAACCATATGGGAAACTGTATCAGTATGTGGCTCAATAAGGTCACCCAGTTTTTCTCAAAATGAAGTTTGAAACTTGGCAATACTAAATTTGTATGGCATTACTTGGGTAGTTTTTTCCTCAACATAGACTTCAGTATAAATGATAGGGTGTTATCTAGATTTCATAAAATGGTGGACTTGGGAATCAGGTATTCACATAATTTGTCCTTCTCAGAACAGGTCTTAAAATAAGCTTACAAGTCTAAACGTCTTTTGCACTGTATACTTCGTAACCTCTATAAAAATGATTCACATATTTTGATATAAAAAGTATGTGTTAATCTACTCCTAGTATATTTCGTTTGCATTCTGATCACTGTTCGCATAAAGAATAAACTGATATCGGAATCCGTCGAGCGACAATTTACATCAAGTATTCTTTGGAATTATTTTACCTCAAACTAGAAATACCGATGAATTAAATATGGAATCGACCTTTTATAGAAGCATAGGTTTAAACTAAACTTAATCCTCTTCAAAATACTAAATAAAACATCTTTTACATCCTCTGATGCAAACAAATAAGTAAAGACAATTATAACAATTGTTGAACTCTCTAGCAATTATGAAACTGTCTCATTCTAAATCTTCTCTTTATGTGAATTATTTTACGAGTAGATTTTCGAGACTCTAGAATAATTTGCTGCAATCTGTTGGTGAAATAAAACTACTTCATAGATATTCACTTCTTTGAAACAACCTTGAAGGTACTTACGCCTCTAACTGTATCTCGTTCCGTTTTTGGGATTATAGGAACACTAAATATTTAAATATTGTTATTACTGAGCATACTTAACCACTTTACTTTCTTGAAGATATTTTAACACTCACATTGTCACTAGTTAATCATAAAAGAACTTGTCACTTATTTAAGCTATCACATTAACTTTTAATGTTATTATTACAGCCTCCCTGTTTATACATTTTTTTCTAGTTGTAGATGACTACAATTACTCTGTAATATCAGTGGAAATAATTCTCGATATACTAGTTATATATTAACAGAATATCATAGTCCCCCCTACTATGAACTAATGGTTTCCAAATCCTGCCATACATTGCTTTAGTGTTTATGGTAAATGTTATTTCTAAACAATTTACAAACCCTACCATTTCCAATAATTTAACCTCATATCTCTATCCTTTAAATGTAATGTTGTTTTCTGGGTTGGTGCGGTCTACCAAAGGACGGGTTTACTGCGCAGCAGTTCGTACTGTCCTACTTTATGGTAATGAAACATGGCCAGTAAGAGTAGTGGATATCCGTAGGCTACTAGTATTCGATCATAGGTGTCTTCGAAGCATTGCTTGTATATCCTGAGACCACCGAGTAGTAATGAAGTTGTTAAAAAACGGGTACTAGGTTAGGATGGCAAATCAATTGACGAAGTAGTGAAACTTCATCAGTTGAGATGGCTGGGAAACGTGTTACGTATGCCCAACCACCGACTGCCTCGACGTGCGATGTTCAATGGTATGTGAGTAGGTTGGAAGAGAAATCTAGGGGCGGCCAGACCAAAACATGGCACAAGTGCATGATGTCACTGAAAAGTGAACTGAGTCATGTTGGTAGGTGTAGACTACCTGGTTGGGGACCGCGAGATGATAGCAACCGATGGTTAGAGACCCTGAATGACATGGCTCAAAATCGTTTGCAATGGCGCAGGTGCATCCACTCTCTGTGTTCTCCCAAATTCTAATCTTCTGAATTCTTCATGTCCCTTTTTTTCTCTTTCCAAATTTATTTCACTGGATTATACTCCTTGACTAACATCTTTAAAGCCTAATGTTTCCGATTACCGCTTATACTTTTACTACCTCTACCATTATGGGATTTGAATAGAAAATTGTATCTCTGTGCCAATGTGGTATGACAACTCGAACTGATGTACGTACGTACGTACAAGTTCTACGTTGTTACTGACTGAATGTTGTTTTCTGTATCAAATTAATTATGCCTGTAAATTAGCATGAATTCTATAATCATTCCTAAATCATAATTTATTTATTATCGTCAAATATTGAATTATTAATTTGTATTTATTACTATTATTAATGGCTTTACTCAATATTATATTTTTGATACAATATAGAATTCTCAGCACAAAGTATCTCAACAAGTTTCCCATATCTTATTTCTTGGTCGATCCTGACGATAAGCATTGAGTGGCCCGCTAGTTACATGTTAACAATTCAAGAATCGACATCTGAATAATGCATATTCTTTTCGATGTAAATTTTCAACCGCTACGATGTCTCTGGTCGTAATTTTTTTGTAATTTGTACAATGAAAAGTTGTAAAATGTTCATAGACACGCCTGAATAGGTTATGTAATTAATAGACATAATGATGTGTTAAAACAAACAAAAAGTAGATAACTTATTGAAATATCTAGATGTCAGGAACAGGTAGCCCAGATATTCAAGTAGGCTGTCAGGAGAGTTCCTTAGCAAGCATCTCCATTTCAATTACACATAAGTTCAAATATTAGTCACAAATAATCGAATATATTAAAAAAATGATAATCATTTTCCATCTAACAATCTTTAAATATAGATGACTTATTTCTCGATATCATACATTTATTCTTACTATTTTAAGCATTACATTTAATCAAATGAATAAACAGTCATCGTCCACTTATAGGAGACTGGAAAATATATTCAGCGTTATAACATAAAAATAATATGAAGGTTTATTAAATTTACCGTAGTTCCAACCCATCTTCCACATGCAGTCATAATCATAATAGAATTATTACGACTTAAAAAACCAGGTGTACATTCAATTTCAAAACTTCTATATACTTGTTCTGTATCTAATGGATTTTTAGGCATTTTTTGCATTTCTTTATATTCTACATTGACTTCTGCATCTAATTGTAATAGAACACGTCCAGTACCTTCTAATTTCATTGTAATATCACCCCATACATTATCTGATGGAAACTGATGTACAACAAAAAAAACAAACGGAATAAGATGGAATAATATTTTTGTTCTAATAAATAAAATTCATATATATTTTTTATAAAATAATTCAATTACCTGTTTTAATAGGATGAATGAATGATACTACTGAAAAAGGAAATACAAATTTTAAAGAAGGATTGAATATGTGTTTTGTTCAAATTTCTTCTTCGATCTTCCTATTTATGATTGGCGGATGTTTTCAAATTATTGAATGAAATAGACTTTTTTTTTCGTATAAATATAAATGACTAGTAAAATTAATAAAATAAATGATATTGTCAAACGAGTAATTTCTTCATGTAATCAACATTCACCTTGATGTGGTGGTCGGGCTTGACTATCGTAATGAACCGATCAGGCTATACTGGTTGGAACAATCGTTCCTCAAGGTTCTACCATGCCAAACAGGTCGGTTTACGAGTGGTAAGACTAAAAGCAGCAAACTCAAGGTCTGAGGGCGAAGTCGTACTGGTGACTGTACAGAGGTGTGACGACAGTATGGTGTTTCCTCCAGACAACCAGCATAACAGCGATGCTACCTCCCCACATGGAGGGGTGGGGGTTTGAAGAGGTCGACCCTAAAAATGCATACATCGCTTTATCCCACGGATATCCGTCTCCTGCGGTAAGGTCTCAACAAGTACGGAGCTAATACGAAAATTACCCACAAAAAAGGTCATGCGTGGCTGACCTCAAGCAGTTGTCCCTTGGGTTCTGTGGTCACGCTCTCAGGTCACTAAGGCCACTCCTAACCCAATTTCCTTTTCAGGTACCTCCAGAAGAACTTTTCCATGGTGTGGGCCTCTGGGAAGTGATAACCACCCTCATACTTCCAACAACACTCAAGACCACTGTATTCATAATCAACTTCCCTCTTCAATTCCTATTATTCCTTCTACGTCGACTTTCAATACCAAACTTCCTCTTTTGACTTCCTCATCAAGTGTCACTATAGCCAACCAATACTTAAATCCTGACAGAATATATTTTTCCAGGTAGACTCAGTGATCAACCCACCGAATATACAATTACAAATTCAAAATATTATTCAAAAATAAAATATGCAATCAGAATAACATAGTTTATAAAAGAACGAAGAAAAAAATAATTAAGGATTGAAATTGAAGACTACAAAAAAACCTCTCATTGATTTTCGCCCTCTACCAGTAGTACTGTACGAAATAATAATGTTGGTAATAGGATAGTTGAAAAGTCTCAAGTTCTGCATCCATGATAATACAATGAAGACATACTATAAAGGATTCCTTTTCGGCAACAGTTCAAAGTTTATCATGAGCATTTAAACCTAAGAAAATCGATGACATTTTGCTCCTTGACTTGGCTTCCACCCGAAAACAACTGTATTTTCTCCACGAATGTCTTTGTCAGCTTGTTTCAAACTCTTTAAGATAACTATAGGTCTTCAGTTAGTCAGTCATTCAGCTACAAGACCAGGCACATATATACATCGGTCCAAGTTGCAATATCTCATTGGCACAACAAGATGAAGAACACCAAACTCATAGAAGTAGTCACTTCAATGGTAGTAATATATAAAAGAAAGGTTGTGTATAAGGACATAATACAGGAAGAAAGAATTAGGAAGGTATAAAGTAATTTTAATCTCACGGTTTAAGGGAAGACAAAGAGTGTATACACCTACGCCATTATGATCGATTGCGAGCCATGTCACCCACAGTCTCCAACCATTGGCTAAGATAGTCGCGAGGAACCCAACCAAGTAGTCTTCATCTACCAACATGGCTAAGACTGAAAGTTAGCGACTTCAAGGACTGATGCCGCCCCTAACTTTCTTCCACCCATCTCTAACACTAGTCAGCATTGCACGTCCTGATAAATGGTGTTCAGGCATACGTAACACGTGGCCTAACCATCTCAGTCGATAAAGACTCACAACTTCACCAAATGATTTACCATCATTTCCTAACATCCTGTGTTTAATCTCACTATTACTTACCCGGTGATCCCAGCAGATGTGAGCTATATTTCTAAGACATCTGTGTTAAATACTAGTAACTTACGAGTATGTTCTGTTCTTGAGTGAACGAAAACTTGGTGGGGAGGACCAATTTATTGATGCTATCAGAGTACCTTCCCATTCTCTTTATTGTAATCTTATGCTGTCAAGTGTTCCAGTTCCAATTAGTGCTACGTACTACTTATATCTGTCAGTATAAGTAGCATGCACCACAATTGTATTATTTCAAATTTCAATCAAAAAGGATCAACTATTTTCAATCAAACTAAAGTATAAATGAGAAAAACAAAACAACATTATTACCGTTGTATGCGTAACAGTTGAATAATTGTGAGTATCTATGTAAATACGATTTGTCCATGTACTCATTGAAGAAATTTTCTCATCTATAGCCATTCTATATAAAGCACGATTTGTATCAGCCAATGCAAATTTTCTTAATGCATGCATTGCGAAAAGTGAATCCTATTCGACAGAAAGAAAAGAAAATTTAGTAGATTAAATTAATTTAAAGCCTATCAAATGAGAAATAGTTTTTAAACATTAACACAGATAATATTGTGGTGTATGCTACTTATACTAACAGATATAAGTAGTATGTATTCCCAGTCAGGAGTGGAATACTTGATATCAGTAAACTGAATTGAAGAGAACAGAAAGAAAATCGAAATGGAATCAAGATGCCAACAGAATTAGAGGAATAATAGTGCAGATAAAGAAAAACTGATGGGAGATGTGTAAATGATGTATTTAATGTATAATTTTCATAGTTTACCAAATCATTATGTACTTTTCCCGCAGAGACTTCGTTCACAACCATATGAGACCAATAAAATTTTACGTATATCTTTAAATATTTGAATAAAGTCTGAATTAAGTAGTTGAATTGTTCTTGTATTTGTAAAACTCATGCTTTTTTAAATTTAAACCAAATTTCTTCTAAGCCAGTGATCTAATCTAGTTATAACTGAGTTCTTTTGGAAAGTACCGGTAAGTAGTGGATTATTTTGATCACTGATTATATAACATTTACAAATCAATAAGCTGATGGCAACAGAGATATAGAATGGGATACAACAAGGAAAAGAACTGCTGTTGATTTGAGAAGAAAACATTCGTTATATGAATAGATGTGGTAAATAGGGTATGTACATTCAAATATTAAAACCATAGTAAGTTTTCCTAATGTTACGAATACAAATACCAATAAAATCCAGTAATTATGACTTCTTACTTTAAGGTATTCTACTGAATGGTTCCAAACTGAAAATATCTACTGATCATTAAAAGAAAAGTTCAGCTCTATTTACTATTCTTTAATACCGATTAATTTCAATATTGAATTCGTCTTTAGATGAAAGTAATTTTCATTATAGGGTTGTGAGGATTGTTGAGTTCTAATTGAAATCATGAACTGATCAGTTAGACTACCATTGGAAACCTGAAGTTACTGGACGGCCGTTTCGTCCTAGTACGGAACTCCTGAGCAGTGCGCATCCACGATCGCGCATGCAGGATTTGGACCTAGGACCTTCGGTTTTGTGTGTGAACACATAACCTCTAGACCATTGAGCCGCGATCCAACGAAGTTAATGTCTAATTTTAACCAATCCACGATATTGCGCAACCATCTTTCATTGTCGTCGGTGGGTAAATGCCTCACACTCAACACGTTTGAACTTCACTGGTTACGGTTTCTTACCCGAATTCCGAGAATTACCAGTCAGTCAGTCAGTAACACCGTAGAACTTCGTACGTACGTACATCAGTTCGAGTTGCCACGCCACATTAGCACAGAGATGCAGTTGTCGACTCAAATCCCATAGTGATAGAGGTAGTGAAAGTATAAGCAGTAATCAGAAACATTAGGGTTTGAAGATGTTGTTTAAAGAGTATAATACAGTGAAATAAATTTGGAACGAGGAAAAAAAGACAAGGAGAATTCAGAAGATTAGAATTTGGGAGAACACAAAGAGAGGATGCACCTGCGCCATTACAAATGATTTTGAGCCATGTCATTCAGGGTCTCTAACCATCGGTTGCTATCATCTCGCGGTCCCCAACCAGGTAGTCTACACCTACCAACATGAATCAGTCCACTTGTCAGTGACTTCATGCACTTGTGCCATGTTTTGGTCTGGCCGCCCCTAGCTTTCTCTTCCAACCTACTCACATACCATTGAACATCGTACGTCGAGGCAGTCGGTGGTTGGGTATACGTAACACGTGTCCCAGCCTTCTCAACTGATGAAGTTTCACTACTTCATCAATTGATTTGCCATCTTAGTACCCGTTTCCTAACAACTGTGTTACTTACTCGATGGTCCCATGACATACGAGCAATGTTTCGAAGATACTTAAAAAAAAACTGAATGACTATAGTAATTGTATTTAAATACTTTAACTTAATGTAAGAAACAGTTGTTAACAATGTAAAAATCTTAGAATACATTCTTATATAATGGTACATAGATGGTATGAAAGAGGACATTTTTCTAATGGAAAAAAGGCATATATTATCCATTGTACAATAAATTATTTCATCATGAATACTTTTCAAGAATGATAGCTGATTTATTGTCAAGTTACGAATTGAATATTGGACAAATCCCAATTGGTTTTAATGGATAAATTAAGTTTGACACGCGCAAACATAAATCATGATCATAAAAATATTAGAAAACGATCAAATTTAAGTTTTATTTAGAGAGAAGTCAGTGATCTTTTGATCACAATGAGACTGGTAGGCCTTGAGGGTGAGACTATAATTTATGGACGATATTCGAGCGACGCCAGACTGACCTTGAGAGTGTCCATCTAATAACCATGACCAAATAAGGGTTATAAACCACTATGAGCGATTGGAATTATAATTTACAGATGATGGTTAAGGTTAGGTATTAGATTTAGGGTATTCATCACGAACTGACATCAGCTATAATGCCAGAACTCTATTTATCCGAATGAATGAGTGAATTTCGCGCCAAAATCCGAGAGCTGTTATCTTATACCTGATTGGTTCATCCATAAATTATAGTCTCACCACCTTGAGCTTGATAGGAAAAGTTAGAAGAGGTATTTGAAGCGAACTAACTAACGACATTTTTTAAGTTATGTAAGCGAAAGACATAAGTTTCACAAAAACTAATTTCGAATTGTCGAAGAGGACTGGTAGGAAGAGTTAAAATTATTTTTTATCTATTGAAGTCAGTCAGTTATATTCAACAGAGAACCTGACATATATGTGCATCAGCTTAAGTTGCCACACCCCACTAGCACAGTAAAATAAAAATTATCAAGACAAATTTTAGAGTAGTAGAGGTAGAAACAGTATCAGTACTACAAGTAGTATAAAAGACTAGCAAAAAAAGCAAAAAAGATATAAGGCGATTTCGAGATTTAACAACTAAAGAAAAGATGTAGAGTAATCGCACATGCGCCATCGTGAAGGATTCTGATACATATCATCTGAAGTTGTTAACCATTGGTCGCGCAGGCCCCAAATAGGTATTCTAAACCTATCTACATGACTCTGTCTATCACTCGATAAGGTATTCATTATCAAAAAGTCAACCTACAACTCCAAGAAAAATTGATGGTCAAAACACATTTACCGGGATACATAGGTTATAGAAGATCCTAACAAATTGACAGATTATTCAATTTCAATAAAATTTAATAAAAACCCTCTTTAAATTTTAACTTACAAAAGTACTTGCAAATCCAGCGACATGATTTCGTTCACTAGCTAACCAATGAACCATATCTAATGCCTCAGATGAACGAAATGACCATTCACCTAATTCATGTTTTAACAAGAAATAAATACTTGAACATAAAACACCATAACCATCATTAGGCATTTCTAAACGAGGATTTTCAATACGTCTACCAGCTTGATCTAATTCCCATTTTGGTGGAGGTATTCTATAATTAGCATAGTAGACATAATCACCTTTTTGACGAAATGCTTCAATTCGTTTCAATGCACTGGAAAAAAAAACAATAAAAGTACTTCGATAATAATAATTCCTTTTTGTATTGGTTGCTTGAATCTTCCTCATTGATGTTTAGGACTGCAATTGATCATTCTCTTATTAGTATATGTGGATCATGTGCGGATTGTCTCGATATTGCCTTCAGTCACAAGCAACTCTGGGATGCAGTTATATCCAGCTGACAAGTAGGACGCGTGTCCTGGATTCCACTGCTAGCCATCATCATCATCTCAGCTTGTAATGCTTGTGTCTGAAGGCTATATCGAGGCAATTCATGCAGAAAGCACATATGTCGATAAGAGACTGATCAATTGCAGTCAATGGGAAGATTCAAAAAACCAATACAAATATGAATCAAAATTAGAATTCAACCCATTGTACAAGCATATGAGTGGATAACGCAATAACGTTTGAAGCGAACGGTAGTGGGTTCGAGTCCGGAGGTGAACATTAACTCTGGGATGCAAGTACATCCAGCTGACAAGTCGCAAGTAAGATGGAACGCGCGTCCTGGACTTCACTGTTAGCCACCACCCATCTCTACTTATAAGAGTGAATTGCACAAAAGACCAGAGCCACTGGATTTTATTCAGATAAAACTTGAGATCTAGCGAAACATTACAATATACATATCAATTTAAAAAAAATGATACTGACCGCATACAATAAAAGTTTCTAAACAGAAAAGTATCTAATACTTACTGTGATATTTTATGTTGTGATGTTGCATCGACAGCAACTTTCAAAGCATATGTACCAATCATTTGTGAAAATAAATCATCAACATTTAATATATGTCGACTAAGAAATTTAACAGCTTCAGAAACAATTCTTTCAGCTTTATCTGCACCAACTCCACTAGGCAAAGTACGTTCAGTTGAACGTAATGCAATAATAACCATAGCTGTTGATGGTATTCGACGATGACATTCTTGATCAATTAAATCAGGCCATTTAGTTTTATTAATTATAGGAGAAAATCGTCTATCTATAACATTAGAAATATTCCAACTACCAGATAATCGAATATCAACTATTGTTTGATTAGTTATATCATTATCATATGAACTGAATTGTTGTGTTTGTTTTAAATAATTAATAATACTAACAAATGTATTATCATCTACGTAAATTAAACGATTCCATTGAGTTTGCCTCGTTAATAGTAAACTCCATAATGCAATGGCTGTAACTAGTGGATCAGTTCTAGAGATGAAAGAAAGAAAAAAAGAGGAAGCAAATTTATTTTTTTTTAGTATTAAATTTATGGAAATTTCTGAATTTTCTAAATAATTTACATTAAGGACTGATTTTAGTTAGAAGAACACTATTGAAAACTTGGAAACATTGAACGGCTGTCTCGTCCTAGTATGTGACTTATCAGCAGTGCGCATTTACGATCCCTCATGCGCTACTCGAATCTAGGACTTTCCGTCTCGTGCACTGTTGAGGAGTCCTAATACTAGGACGAAATGGCCATCTAGTGCTTACAGGTTTCCATTGGTGATCTAGCTTAGATCGACTCATGAATTCAACCTTGAAAGTACCACAAATATCGTATAGATAAATTTGTGTAACGGTAGACATGGAAGAAGGAAGATAAACTTATAAACGGGCACTTTTACCATATCTTAATGAAATATTGTGTAGATAAATAAAATGTCAGAATTGTCATAAACATCAGTTACGTTTATCCTTAACGTTAAATAAATCGGGAACATAATTGCTACAGTGGCTTTTAGCATTTGTTCAGTCTGGAAGCTTCATGTCAAACTTCTAATATGTTCTTGCAAAAGATAATCGGATCAAAAGTCTTCGGCTTTTTCGGATGATTGATTGATCGATTAATCAGATAGTAAATGTGTTATATATGTACAACCACCACCTACTTTGATGGCCGATATTGTCCAGTGTAGAAGTAGGCTGGAAGAAAGCTAGGGGCAGCCAAAATAAAACATGATAGCAACCTATGAAGTTACTGACAATTGATCTGAGCCATGTAAGTGTAGAGTCCTTGTTGGGATTATCGTAATCAATGATTAGATATCTTAAATGAAATGGTTTGCGATAGCGTAGGTATATTTGTTATTTATCTTATCTTACATCATAAGTTTCTGAAAAACCAATAATATTTTTATTTCGTTAATTTATATTTAAATGATATCTTCGATACCTAATCCTTTCTAATAACACTAATTATGTTACTACTTCTACTACTCTGGGATTAGGGTTTAAAAGATTCATCCCTTTGTCCTAATATAATATACTATACTCGTCATCAGTAATATGCATAGTCTTAACCTGTGAATCGAGGTGAAAAATGGTTCATAAAACAATCATCCAAGTTCATCAGTTTTGTAACAGGTAATAATAATGACCTTGGACAATTGAAAATATTTAACTAGACATTAATTTGTACCGGCATTTACAAATCAATAAATACATATATGTATACTTGTAACATGTGAAAGAAAGTTAGTCTTACCCACTAAATATTGATTTAAAGAAGAAAAAAAGAGAAAGAAAGAAAAATGAAAGATAAACTGAACTGAACTGAACTATTGTATTGAATTTTTCTCCCTGAAATAACAAAATCTTGTATGACAAATGACAAAGATGGGAAAAAAAGAGACCAAGTGTTCCACTTTAAAGTTATTACTAATCCGGTAATATTATATTAGTAAAAACCTATGGTACCTAATATGCATATATATCTAAAACTTCAAGTTTGTTTTTTGGCAAGACTATAAATTATGGATGGACAAATTAAAGTAAAGATAGGAAGTATTAAATTTTAGCGTGAAACTCATTCATCTATATTGGTTGAATAGAATTTTGCGCATTTAGAATCGATATTAGTTCAATCAGAACTTTCGTCTAAATTTGATTGAATAGTTTCACAGTATTTGGGTGTTGAGTTAATTTGAGATATTAAAGAGGAAGAATGTTGCATTTGTAAAATCTCAGTGAAAGAATTTGAAGTAAATTCAACGTTTCATCTGGCAGTCTGATCTAAGCTTTTTCAAAGAAATATAATCAAACAACAAAATTATCAAATATAAATAAGTACATGGTTCTCTGGTTTACTCTATACTGAATAAGTCATCCAATCAACGTTGACAATGTTTAAAGTTTGTATTTACATTAGTGCGTAAGAGACATTTGGTGTTAAACGAAAAGTGTTAAGTTAACAGATTGTATGTATACGTAAGTTCGTGATGAAAATTGTAACTCTAAATTCTAATCTTAATTTATTACACTAATTGATAACTCTAGTTTGATCCCAGTAAGTAAGTAAACTTTCTCAAGGTCACTTTAGCTTCGTTCTAAGGTTGTTCATAAGTCATAGTCTTATCCAATCTTTTTACAATACTTAAATTATCGAGTAAATTAATTGTGTTGCTTGTTTATTTATGTCAGAAAAAGAAATTACTGTAGTGCATTGTTTAGTGAAATCGTGAAGCAAAATAAGGAAGTAGTAGGTTTTTTGTTAAAGACTTTGAATTTTAACTACCGTGTAATGAGTTTAAATTTCTGATTCCAATGCTTCGATTTTAGCCCTAAGACAAGAAAAATCGGCTCAAATATAATAAATAACATTTGTCAAAACGGAGAAAATGAAACATTTTCATTGAATTTTACGTGAAGCAAACGCTGACAATGTAGTTTAGAACGACAATGAAAACTTTGTAATGAAACCACAACCAACGATGAAACTATAATTTATGGAAGATATTTGAGTGACGCTAAAGTGACTTTGAGAGTGCCCACCTAATAACTAGGACTAAATAAGGGTTATAAACCAGTGTGAGCAATTGAAATTATGATTTACAGACGATGGTTAAGGTTAGGTATTAGATTTAGGGTATTCATCACGAACTGACATCAGCTATAATGCCAAAACTCTATTTATCCGAATGAATGGGTGAATTTCGCGCCAAAATCCGAGAGCTGTTATCTTATACCTGATTGGTTCGTCCATAAATTGTAGTCTCGTCCAACCAACTAAGAGAAAAAAATATCAACTAAGGTATCCCACTTGAGGTGCAAATTTTCCAGATTGTTTTAAGCATGGAGCTATAGTTGGTTAGTGAATCCCAAGTACATTAAATAGTTTGATCTCACCTAAGGTGACAATGAGTTAGTTCATATCTTCCTCTGAAAATCGCAAGATCAATAATACCATTATTTCGTTGAAATCATGTACCAATCCAAGTTAGACCAACATTGAAAACCTGAAAACATTGAACGTGTGTTTTAATATGGGACTTTTCAGCAGTGCGCATCAACAATCCCTGGACGCAGGAATTTAGATCAAGATCTTCGATCTCTTTCGCGAACACTTAACCTCCAGACTACTGAATCACTGAGTTTAGACATTAACAGCGCATAAACGACGTGTGGATTTGTACATGGGTTCTGCCGAGGGGTCTCATAATAGAAAGAAACAGCCGTCTGTTGCTTCTAGGTCATCAATGTTGATCTAACTTGCATTGGTTTTCAAATATGATGAAATTCAATGATTTGCAAGACCACACACTGAAAGTATTGTTATTGTCATTTTCTTTTATGACGATATCCAATGGATTGAAGATTGTTGAATAAGTTAGTCTTACTGTAATAAACTCGATAACATTATTATGCAACAGTTTGTTAATTACTGTTAAGATAGAGTATCTAATATCACAGTGGTTGTGATATATAGTTCATAGTCACTTGAACATTTTCCATTGTTTTATTTCATTTTAGGTGTGATGAAATTGTTGTTTATAGTTTATTATATAATTTATAGTTAGTTTATGGTTTATTGTTCAACTAATCAATTAGGCATGTTAATCAGAAAGTATTATGTCATTAAATCAAATGTAAACATGTACTCACGACTTTTTTAAGCCAAAAACTTAAGAGTTTATATCGGAAGGGTATTTTGTGGAGATTTTAGTAATTTTAATAGTTGAATTCACGAATCGATTTAAGCTAGACCACCATTGGAAAACTTGAAGCATTGGACGGCCGTTTCGTCCTAGTATGGGACTCTTCAACAGTGTGCATCCACGATCCCGCTCCGCGAGATGCGAACCCAGGACCTATCGAATCAATTCCACTGATAGCCATTATCTATCTTTGCTTAAAAAATGTTGTTTAGATATTTTAAAAAATATTGGGAAAAATGTCTAGACTGTAGTTCAAGCTAGTGCTGTTATCTTCTAATGGTTTAAACATGTTATTTTTCTAAAACTCTATCTAGGTCATTTGTAAATAGAAACATGAAATACGTGTGGTTACATAGCAAATAGAAATTTGTACATAGTTTTCAGTTAATTTTTGTTGATTAAATGTTGTGTATACAATTCGTAGTTGAGTCAAACAGTAACGTTTATCATAGGAACTCTTCTCTTTAATTTAAAAATGTCATTTGTGGTATATGGGCGGCCTATGCTCCTCCATGAGAAGTAACAAGCTGAAGTAAGTAAGTGATTGTGGTATACTGCTTGTTAGTAATAAATTGGGAAATTCTGAAATAATAAACATTGGATAACAGTTCTATCACTGTACTAATTCGAAAAGATTTACTTTAGTTTCAGATAGTTTTTGTCAACTTAACATAAGAATAATGGCTAATGTGGGAGTAAGTTCACATGGAAAACCAAAACTTATCATGTTACGCAAAAGATGACTTTTTTAAGAACGAGCAATCATCCCTTAGTAACTCAGTGGGAATCTGTATTTTCTAAGAATTTAATTAATGAGCATTTGGAACTATTTTAGATGTTTGTTTTGAAGATGAATTTTCGATGTCGAAAATTCACCTTTTAAGGTTTTAGATAACAGTTTTTAGAAAGATATTTGATGATAAGTCAGTTTCTTTGTAGAACTGAGTTTTTATCTAGTTAATATCAAATATAAATAATGGTCTCATTGTCAGTAAGCATTCAGTAAGTTCGATTCCCGCATCGACTAAAGCACACTAAATTTTTTGTATTTTCAATGATTTGATTGTCACTATTTTGTGATCCATCGTTTTTCTAGCTTACATTTTGATTTAGATAAATCTTCTCCACAAAATAGGCAACAAAATATCTTTCTAACAATTATATGAACAATTGTTATTATCATAGTAACAATGATACCTAATAGTTTCTATGGCTTTATATACGTGTAAATTGTACTGACCAATCAAATCTTTGAAAAAATGATTGATTAATATTTATTGAATAGTTGAATGGATGTGTATACGTTGAATGCACCCTAATAAGAAACACTAGGGAATGACTACGTATAGTGATTTCAATTTAACTTTTCAGAGAGAGAGAGAGAGAGGGAAAAAACGTCTGATTTTCTTCATATACTATTAAAACAAGATAGAGCTTATGAAAATAATTGACATGGAAAATCATTAGTCTAATAATAACTAGGGTATATTAAGTGATGAAATACTACACCTACACATTTATTGAAATATAAACTGAGATTGAACTTATTCATATGAGATGAAAATAAAGAAATATACCAATTATGTCCCAAACAATTCAAGTGTATCATTGTTTTCAGTTAACTGTACTAAGTTAATTGGAAGACTAGTTAAAAATGTTCTAGCTTAGTGAATGAATTAAGTTCATCTTCCACAGTAAACACTTTTGTGAAATATGGGGATGATCTCACTGTATGTATGCCTATCTCTACATCTTTACATCCCATAGAAATGAATGCGTTTTTGTTTCGTAACGAATGTTGGTCTGTCGTTAACGGTCTCATCCTTAATCCGTCTAAATGTCAAGCTGTTAACTTTAGCATGAGACATGAACGGTATCTAAACACCACTTTGAGATCCCATAATGCTTGTGCCATTGAAGACTCTTTGATAAACAGTGTCGAAGGTCAATTATCTTGGTGTTACCTTTTCCTATGATCTCTCTTAGTCTTTTCATATTTTACTGTTATCGAAGAAGGTTTTCCGTCTGACTTACTACATAAAGAGATTGCATGCTTTTGGGATTACTCGTTATTTACTCTTACAATTTGTCCACTTCTGCTTATTACCTAGTATTCTTTACTGTTCTCCATTATTCTTTCCCGAACTTTTGAGAAAAGTCTTTGCTGTATTGCGAAGAATGCTGAAGGCAGTTAGCAGGGTGTGTGGTGAATCTTTCGAGGTCATAATTAATATGGTTGTGGATAGACATCTAAAGTCATGGAAACTCCTGGCACGTGTTATTTTATTAGATACTAACCACCCCCTTCACTCTTATCTTTCTCCTTGTATATCTTCTTCTGGTTGAACGAGACGAAATTACATTGAAATCCATGCAAGCAAGCAAGTATAAAAGTCCTATATTACCTTACCTAGTAAATATACTGTAACGAACAAGTTGTTAATCTAGTCATGTCTATAATTTGGAAAGTTGTACAGTTTTTCAGATTTTTTTAGACGTTTTTTCCTTCCTTTTTGTCTTTGTTTTTTTCCTTTTTGTAAAATAAACTTGTTGAAATACCTTGTACTGAGAATTCTATATTGTACCAAAATATAATATTGAATAAAGCCACTAATAATAATAACAAATGACGAGACTATAATTTATGGATGAACCAATCAGATTTATGGTAACAGGTCTCGGATTTTAGCGCAAAGTTTATTTCACCCATTTCACTGAATAGGGTTTTGACATTTTAGCTGATGTCAGTTTGTGTTGAAAACTTAAACTATAACTCCTTAATCTAACCATCAACTGTAAGTCATAATCATAATTCCTCATTTATCCTTAATAGGTAAGTGAACATTCTCAAGATCACTTTAGCGTCACTCAAAGATCGTCCATAAATTATAGTCTCATTCAGTAAATAAGTGTCATATATTATGATAAATATAACTTACTCATCTAAACGATCTCTAAAATTAGAAAATGCACCAATTTTCGGATTAAAATATGAAAATCCTTTTTGTAATACAACAGAACAATAAATTAATCCATTTTCCAATACTGAATATGGTAAGTGTCCAGCACCATGTAAATAAAGCAGCAAATTCATATTGTAGCCTAATTCAAAGAAAATATTCTCTGCTGCTGCGAAAGGTAGACGTAAAATATTTTGTGTATCAGCATATTGAAATTTTTCACTTAAAGCTGGACCGATAAAGTCACCTAAAGAAAAAATAACGAAAGAGTAAATTGAGATGATGGAATTTTGCAGCTCAAGTGGATGATTTTGATGGAGTTTTGTTCTCTGATCTGGATGGTTTGGTCATGGAAATTTCATTGTTCTTCTGAACGATATTATTATTGAATTCCGATTCAACAGTCAATATAACTGAAACAAAACCTGAAGGTTTTGATGAAACAACTGCCAAGTGTCGTTTAGTCTTTTATCGGTTCCGTCTGTACTTATAATGCTTGTAAGTCAAAGCAATATTGAGGCTATCCGTACAGGATGCACATATGTCAATAAGAGACTGATCAATTGCAGTCCTGAACGTCAATGGGAAAATTCAAACAATCAATACAAAAATGTATTGAAAACTTCACCACATTGCACAAGCTAGTGGCTATCTGAACCCAGTAGTTAAGTGAATAACGCGATGAGGTTTGAAGCGAACTGTACTGGGTTCGAGTCCCTGAGTGGACATCAAATGTAGGATGCAGGTACATCCAGCTGAGTAGTTCGGAATAGAACGAAACGCGCGTCCTGAATTCCACTGCTAGCCAATATCCATCTTTGCTTATAATGTTTGTGACTTAAAGCAATATTGAGGCAATGCGTACAGGATGCACATATGTCAATAAGAGACTGACTGATCAATTGCAGTCCTGAACATCAATGGGAATCTTCAAAAAAACAATACGGAAACCTGACGAATGTTGCCTACTGATTTTAGATAGAACTTTAGAAAAATATGTGCGTTAATCAATCTATTTACAAAATGTCATATTTATATACACTGCTTCATTTTCTTATCATCAATACTGATAAACTACGGTATAATAAATACGATAATGAATATTAGTCCATGTCATTTGCATTGATTTTTTTACATAATAGATAAAATATGTTTTAAAAGAGAAAAGATAACCTTTCATTAATCTCTCTGTCTTCCTAAAGGTCACTATACTACACAACTATGATGTATGAATGCACATTGACTGACATTAACATTCCCATGTTTTCTTTTTATTGATCCCTAAGTTTTAGTTCTTTCTCTTCTTTTTCTTATTCTTCTTCATCTTCTCTGATATTCTTATCCAAGAAATAAATCCTTCAACATTATGGATCCAATAGTTAAATTCATTTACAAAGATATATAGATTAGTAATAGTGTATATATATTAACCTATATATTAACCAATTCAATGAATACATAATTTTTAGCAATAAATTAAAACGACAAAATCAAACGAAACGGCCACTCAGTGCTTCCAGGTTTTTACTGATGGTCTAACAATGATCCATATTCATGATTTCAATCAAAATTAGATATCAGAAGGGGTTTTGTGGAGATTGTAGTAATTTCAACAGTTGAGATCATGAGACAATTGAAGCTAGACCACCATGGAAAACCTGGAAGCACTGGACGGCCGTTTCGTCCTATTGTGGGATTCCTAAGCTGGATGTGTCGCTCAATTTCGTGGATTAGTTGAAGTTAGACATTAACACCGTTGGATGCCGGCTCAGTGGTCTAGTTGGTTAAGCGCCTGGCGCGAGACTGGTAGGTCCTGGGTTCGAATCCCGCGAGGTGGGGTCGTGGATGCGCACTGCTGAGGAGTCCCACAATAGGACGAAACGGCCGTCCAGTGCTCCCAGGTTTTCCATGGTGGTCTAGCTTCAATTGACTCATGATCTCAACTGCTAAAATTAGATATGTTTAATTAGATTCCAATGGGAACAATAAAACAATTTAAATCAGATGATAATCTAATTCATTATGCAATATATTATAAGTATAAATCATTTAATTAACTATTAAAATTTTCATCAATGAACGTAATATACATAACCAGGACATGAAAAACTAATTAGAATATTGATGAAAAACTAATTATGATAGTAAACTTACCAACTACACTAAGAATAGCTTTCTGTGATCCAGGTACAAAACGATGTAGACGTCTTTCTGGTATAGTGAATTTTTGTGGAACAATAATTTTGAAATTATTTACAAATAATGTACTGGAACTTGTTAAATCTAAGAAACTTGCAGTATGATAGTAATTTGTTACACCATTCATCTGTAATTGTTAATTTATAAAACAAACCATATAAGTGAATAAAAAGTTAATCTATAGAATTCTAATTGATTGATTCACTAGAAGATACATGAATTTTACTGAATATCTAAGCTACTTGTTCTAGACATCTAAATATTCCAAAGAATTGTCTGTTTTTTTTCTTTGTTTTAACAGATCATTATGTCGATTAATTACATAACCTATTCAAGTGCGTTTATGAAAAGTTTACGAACTTTCACTGTATGTTACAAAAAAAAATACAATCAGAGATATCATGGTAGCTGACAATGTGCACTTTAAAGAATGTACATTATTCTGATGTTGATTCTTGAATTGCTAACATCTAACTGGTGATCAATCAATGTTTATCGTCAGGATAGATCAAGAAATAAGAAATGGGAAACTTGTTGAGATACTTTGTGCTGAGAATTCTATGATGTAACAAAAGCCTAATATTGAATACATCTAATAATAATAATAACAAAGATAAATGTAAGTGACATTGTCAGGTAGTTGGATACAATCGATAAGAAGTATTCATTATCAAAGAGTTCGCAATCTTCAGGGAACTAATACTGGAAGTGATATTCATTATCATAGCCACTATTCATCAAGTTTACTATGTTAACAAACTATAACTAGTTGTTTCCATAAGCCTTTCGTATACGCTAAGAATATAATTCAGCCTATTATTTTTAACAGTTGAATTCAAAAATCGATTTGAGATAGACCACTATTGGAAACCTTGAAGCACTGGACGGCCGTTTTTTTCTAGTATGGGACTTCTCAGCAGTGTGCATCCACGACCCTGAAGGCGGGACTCGAACCCAAGACAATCGGGTATGCACGTGAACGCTTAACCTTGTGAATTCAACCGTTAAAAGACTACGATTTCTACAAATCCACATTTTGATAACAACCATGTGCTCACTAGTGACTAGCTTCAAGATGGATTTCCTGGGGTTCTAGTGATAAGCCATGACCAATGTTGTCCAATCCGTGTCGGATGTGAAACAGTTATTCACCCCAGACAATAGATGAAGGGTTGCGCACGATCATGGATCGATTGAAGTTAGACATCAACACTGTTGGATGCTGGCTCAGTGGTCTAGAGGTTAAGCGTTCACGCGCGAGACCAAAGGTCCCGGGTTCGAGCCCCGAGTATGGGATCGTGGATGCGCACTGCTGAGGAGTCCCATACTAGGAAAAAACGGCCGTCCAGTGCTTCAAGGTTTCCAATAGTGGTCTATCTTAAATCGATTTTTGAATTCAACTGTTAAAAATAATAGGCTGAATTATATTCTTAGCGTATACGAAAGGCTTATGGAAATGGTTGTCACAAGTCTTATGAAACTAGAAATAAATTAAGGTAATGTGAAGGCCACCCGGATCTGTTCTTTCTAAGTTTGTTTAAAAACTCATTTTCTGAAGTAATTTTAACCCATATCTGTAGAACTTGATAAGTCACAACCGGAAAGATATCAATATTATTTGTGGAGTTACCATCGTTTTTTTCTGAAGATTTTTGTGGTTGAACTGTACTATGTCCAATAAGTAGAATTTCTATTTAACTAGAAAACTGGAATATTCCGAAGGTATCATCTAAGTAAGCTTGCTTTGATGAATGCTTAGTTTGGACGGAAATACTAAATTTAGATCAAGTTAATAGAAAACAAATTTTCTTGATAGATACAGTTCACTGTGGATTTACAAAAAACTGATATAAGTTTTAGCTTCCAAAATTAATAATACTTAAGATGAACTTATTTGCTTTACAAACAACATACGAAATCACTCCACTATAACAATAATTCAATTTAAACTTACACGAACATATATTGTATGTGTTTCACAATTGGAACCGATAAAACTATATGCACATATTGTAAATGAAGTATTCCCAGGTAGTTTCGGCGAGACTGGCATATAAATATAACGAGAAGTACCAGCTTCTAAATAAGCTAATGATTGGACAGCTTTATTTATAGATACTTCTGGTGCATATGCTGATACACGTCCTTCTAATCCAACTTGAATAATACGTAAATCAGGACTTGGTTTTACTTCTACTAAGGCCTAAAAGGAAAAGAAAACCTAAAAGATGTGAATTTGTGCACAATAAAAAATTCTTGTTGATTTACTAATTACAACAACAAGTTGTAAACTGTGAAATAATAATCAATAAATATTAGTCTGCTTTGGGGATCAAAAGATAACTCTTCTTCTAAAGTAGATCAATAATGAGATCTATCTATTTAGATAATCTTATACAGTTTAGTTCTCGATTGGTATAGATTTTGCAGCAAATATTTAGATACTAAACAAAATGAAATTACTCACTCAAAAGAGAGTTATTACAGAAAGCTGTTAATCATCCACGTTCATGTCATAAATTATGTGACAACAGCACGAAACCAATGACAATAATCTCTTTTGAGTTTAGATGCTTGGGAAAAGATTACAGTTGTATTCAACTTTACAGATTGAACGCAGATGAAATCAGCTTACATGTGATAAAATTCTATTGCCAAGAAAAGACGAAAGAGACTGATGAGATTAAGTGTGTTTGTGAGAGAGAGCGAGAGAGAAGGTTAGAATATATGCCCAATTCTCTGAAATATTACTAGTTGTTGACTGGGATTCAAATACTAAAGTACTGTGCTTCAATCTGTAGAGACCTATTGTGATCCCTAATCAATTTATTCATGAACAATTACTTAATATGACAGACTGATATAAAGTATTGTTTCATCCTTTTCTGACTTTTAGATGTTTATTTGTAACTTTATTGATTATATTGCATGTATGGATGTCTATCTCTGTTTGCCTGTATTATTCCATGTTTATTTTCCAAAAATATTGTGTTGTCAACTATTTACTGTTAGCTTTGAACATATCTTAGCTAGATTACCAATAAAAGCCCATAAATATTGGACGTCCATTTGCTCCCAGTACGTGACTCGTCAGTTTGTGATTTAAACTTTAAAAATCTAAAAACCTCCTGAAGACCTCTCATACTACTAATGATAACTATGTGTACACTGATGACCAGTTTCGAAGATGTTACTCACGAAAGTTGCAGTGAAAAGCCGTGACTAGTGGAGTCCAATTCATGTCGTGTGAGACAGTTATCCACTGCAGGCAATCGATGCGGGTTGAGAGATACAGTAAATTGGGTAAGACTAGGTACTAACACCGTTGGATGTCAGTTCAGTGATCTAGAGGATAAACGTTTGAGCCCGAAACCAAAGATTCTGCGTTCGACTACCCCCTGCAGGTTTTGGAATGTGCACTGATAAGAAGTCCAATATGAGGACGAAACGGCCGCTCAGTGCTTCCAGGTTTTCAATGGTGGACTAACTAAGATCAGTTCGTAATTTAAATTTTTAAACTTCTACAATCTTCACAAATCCCTTCAACTAATAACAGTTTAATTGTGCTCAACTTATGTGTGTCGAACATCTTTAATTGGTTATCTGTAAGTTGTCCACTATTAACTGAGAAAACTTTTATAGATGCTTCTGTCAGCGTGTATTCAATTTACATGTTCTGTCGTTCAATTTACCTGCTCACATGAGTATCTCAAATTTACATATTCAAAATGGAATTCGTATTCGAATTTTTATTTTTATGTTTTATTGAAGCAATTAATCGATGGACGATATACGAAGTTAAATACGCTTTCTGTATTTCACTAGCATCGTCGTTCAGCCATAGTGGAGGAAACAACGAGCACAAAATATCTAACATCCTCACTGAACGCTTTACAAATAATGGATGTGACTACTTATGCGAGGGAGGATAGAAATAATCCTAGTTTTTAGTAGTATTTTGTCCTGTTCCTTATGAAACATTTTGTCCGGGTACTCAATTTCTTTGCACAAACGCTTCAGCCAAATAGATCCATAAACGTTTAATTACCTCAATCCAATAGTTCCAATTATTAAAAAGACAAGCACGAACACCAATTTGTTCACCCCATACAGCTTCTTCAGGTAGTTCAACTGTCATATAAAATCGTCTTGTACCAGAAAATAAATAAGGTTGTTGCATTAAAGCTAAACCTAATTCACTGTCAACTGAAAATGCACCAGCTACCCAGTCAGCATTCATTTTTGGTAGATCAACACGAAATTGAATTTGTCCATCAGCTCTAAAGTAATGGAATGATTGAATGAAAGTAAAATCTAGAATTTCAGACGAAAAAAGCTATTGTTGAAATGATTAATCGATCACGTTCAGAGAGCCATTTGAAACCTGGAAGCAATGGACACCTGCTTCGTCTCAGTATGAGAGTGCTTAGAAGTGCATATTCAAAATCCCGAACGCAGGAATCGAACCGTAAACCTTGAGTCTCGTGCGCGGACCCTTGATCTATAGACCACTGATACATGATCAACTGGTGTACAAGTCTGGCTTAAACTTTGATTTCAATTAAATTCAACAATCTTCGCAATCCCACACCGGCAATCATCATGTGCTCAGTATGACTAGCTTTGAGATGGAATTCCTGTAGTTCTAGGGAAAAGCTGTGACCAGTTCGGCTAAGAAGTGTCGGGTGAGAGAGAGGTACCCACCAGAGACAACATAAAATGGTCGCGGAGTATCATGAACTGAGTAAAATTAGACTTATGCACCATTAGATCTAGTTCAGTTATGTGGAGGTTAGGCGTTCGCATGAGAGCCCGGAAGTCTTCGGTTAGATCCTCGCGTGGGAGTCCTGGATCCGAAATACTGACGAGTCCCATACTAGAGCAAAACGGGTGTCCGATGCTTACATGATCTCAGTGATTGTCTAACTTCGGTTTGTAATTTCAATGAAATTTAACAATCTCCACAGCTTTATACTGAAAAAATATTATTTCATATAAGATTTATAATAAATCATGTTTGTGATAATCCATTTTGTTTATATATGTAAGCATTTTAATTTCGACCTCTTACAAATATGTGCGTTCTAAAACCACAAATAACATCAGTCCCCTGATGATTATAAATAACTAGCACTCAAAATAAGTTCAGGGGTACAATTTGACCGTCTACATCCAAATAAGTAAGCGTATTTATAGTCGTAAATCTATGTAGTCCAAAAACGTGCGTTTAATTAGCAAATTACAAGTAGGTATTTCATTTTAAAACTTGAATTTCTTTCATTCACTGTTTCAGAAAGAAATTAGCTTTCACATTTTCAAGTCTGATATATACACATGGATTATTATGATTCTTGGATTTCAGCAACAATTGCAGTTCGTTGATTATATCACGCGATGAGTAAGGAGTATTGAATGACTCTCTCAAAGAAGCGAACTTTATGTCATTGTTTCTTATCTTGGAGGGAATAGATAGAAACTCTGAAATGAACGAAGAACTTTTGCTAACGAACTTACATATTGAAGCATAGGAATTATCGACGAAATCGATGGTTACTTCACTATTGCACGTACATACATAACTATCATTTGTTTATATCCAACTATCCAGCTTAGAAGTATAATACTGTATTTCATCATTAAATACAGTTCACTGTGTATTCATGTTAGGTAGATTAGTTGTCATAATCCAATCCGATCTGTCTTAATAACTGGAAAACATAACAAGGAATAATACTTGGTGATCAATTAGGGAGCATGAAGCAAAGTCCTAGATGAGATCAATTCTGACCCGAATAACTCAATCATAATGTCTCTGAATATGATATTGGATGACTTGGGTATGGACTCCACAACGCCCATCAGTTCGCATCTGTTTGCACATAAATCTTCCTGACGAGTACCAACTAGTACAACATAAAGGTTCAGAGCTTTCAAATAATTGTCTCTAATCACACAAAAGCAGTATTTCGAAGCACAAAACTATACTTATTATTTTTCACTTTCAATGCCTAAATTACACTCATTTAAGTGACTAAAAGGGTGATATTAAGGGCAAAAGACGATCTCACTTGGACTTATTTTCCTATTCTGGACGCTCAACTCTCAATCTTTGCAACTTAACTAACTTGATGTTCATAATTGTTGTTCTCGTAAATTGCTTGACCATGATTTAGTTGATGAAAGCTATTGTTCTGCCTTTATCTAGCTACTGACTTTTCGATTTATCACATCATCATCATCAACGTAATCGGAGTCATCTGTGATTAACGAATTAATCAGTTTTCTTCTCAAGTCAAATTAGATATTTCGAGAGATAAATAAAGCAAAAATGCATTTGTATTTTCCATCATGTACCCAACTGCGATCAGTACTTTTACAGCCACACGATATTTACTGTGGTTGTTTTATTTATTTTAAACATCATACACAGATACTACTTACTTGACAAATGTACTATGCCATAACCAAGCACCATCATTCCATTGACGATTTAATATATCAAATGTATTTATTAGACGTAATGGTTGAGGATTTTTAGTTTCATTTTCTGGACAGTCCATTTCATCAATCCAAGTAGCACATTGATTGATCCCATCACATCGTTCACTTCTTGAATAACAATCTCGACCAGTAAGAGAGTAGCATGGTAAGGCACGTGCAGGGTTCTCAGTTTCATTACATGTATCTATTGATTAAATAATAGTTAGAAGTATTCACAAAAGTAATTGTTTTTTTTTTGAGAAATGTTAGATTTATTTGATCTCTATGCTCTTTCGTTAGAAGACTTTTCAACCTGTTACGCTCGTACTAATATATCGATTACAGCTATCGACGATCTACTCTTCTCGATAGCCGCTATCAAGTTAAATGATCACTTAAAATGTTTACAATCAATACTACAAAACGAGAGTGTTGAGGTACATGTGTTACACTTCTAAAGTGATTAAAAGACAATAAAAGTTTCATAAAAGTAACTTAAAAATGGTCGTTTCCGTTTATCTTTTCTTACAATGAAATACTTGAAGAAAATAGGAAACTCAAAACAACTATCAACCAAATATCAAAGTCAGGATTTTCAATACGAACGTCAAAACAGTTCTACTGTATGGAGGTGAAACTTGGAGAACTACTATAATCATCATCAAAAATGTACAAATATTTATAAACAACTGTCTACACAAGATACTCAATGTCTGTTGACCGGATATCATCAACAACAGACTACTGTGTTAGAAAACAAACTGACGCCCACCTAAAGAGAAAATTAGGAAAAGACGATGGAGATGGATAGGACATACATTGCGGAAATCATCAAACTGCGTCACGAGACAAGCCTTAAATTGGAATCCTAAAGGCATAAGCAAAAGAGGAAGATTTAAGAACACATTGCATCAGGAATTGGAGGTAGACATCAAAAGAATGAATAGTGCCTGAAAGCAACTGGAAATGATTGACCAGAACTGATTTCGATGAAAAATCCTTATGGACAATTTAGTGTTTCTTTCAAAGGAGCTAATCTAATCATACTGTGGTGTGTGTAGAAATGCCTGGCGGCAGAGGGTTAAGAAGACCGAAGACAATAGAACGAGAACGATTTGTGTGAAAACGAAGGAACAATGGAGTCTGAGACGATTTAAGGATATTTTGCAAATGAATTGCTTACTGTATGGTTCTCGGATTTTACTAAGATGTTCTGTAATTTTATATTAAAATACATTCGATTGTCCCCAATTGTGTTCTCGTTCACTACAATATTTATTTCACGGTAACACGAATGATTAATTGCTTTGTATGACAATGTTTCATTAAAAAAAGAAAATGAAAAATGGTTATAAGTTATTTCTCTCTATTTCTGAAAATTATGTGAACATGTGGATTAAAAGTCGGTATCTCAGAGACGGAGAGAGAAAAATATGCACATCGAAAATCCAGTGTAATATGTGATCTATCAAGGACACTACTGAATTGTGTTCAAAATGTAAACGAAGTAACCATTTTGTTCTCAATAATCCTTTTCCTGATCTCAGTTAATTGATTTTAAGCTGTTCCTTTGTCATAAATCCATTTTGTATTGTTTGTTTGAATCTTTTGATTGATGTTTAGGACTGAAATTGATCAGTCTCTTACGTACATCCTGTATGGATTGCTCTAAGTCACAGGCATTACATGCAAAGATGTATGGTGGCTAGCATTTAACTGTATGAAATAGTATTATTTAAATATTATTTCCTAGTGCCTATCATAAAAGTTATTACACTTTTGAATCAAATAAGTTTCAACGAGTTGTAAAACACTGAAAATGATTTGGACGGAATAGGAATTTCGGAAAATACAGGAAAGAAAAACACACATCTCCTTTCATCAGTATCCTTTTTACATCTTATTATCCAAGATCATGTATTATGCATAAAGTTAATTAGCTTTAAACCATTTAATAACATTTTTGAGAACTTACGATAAAAATTCGCTTTAGTGAAATTAGCATCAGTGAATATAATTAAACCGGATGAATTCATTGTACTATTGGTATCTGCTCCATTACTGGATGTCGGTAAATAGATACGTTTAATATCTTTAAAATCTTCATACCATGTATGAACCAATGGTGCTTGACTATGTTGTTCATATGTCATTAATTCATCGACAATCTGATAATTAAAAACATATAAATAACTAATATAATCTGATATTTAATAATGAACGAATGGTTCTAGTAAAAATGTAATTTGATCCATTTAGTTAATTTTTGTACTGGTTGTTTGAATCGTCTCATTGATGTTTACGAATGTAATTGATGAATCAGTCTCTGATTGACATATATGCATCCTCTACGGATTGCCTCGATATTATCTTAAATCACAAGCATTATAAGCAAATATGGATGGTGTTTAGCAGTGGAATACAGGACACGTGATTCATCCTATTTGGCACGTGTCAGCTGGATGTATCTGCATCCCACAGTTGATGTTCACTCAAGTGCTGAAACCAACTTGTGTTCTCCTCAAACACCATTACGTCATCCATTTAATTACTGAGTTCGGATAACCAATAGCTTGTGCGATTGGGTGAATTAAACTTCACACCATCCATCTCTGTATAATTCATTTATATTTATGATGTTCAATATATTTTTGATAAAATTATTTCCTAAATGATAATGTTTAACAATAATTCGAAATAAAATTTCGAATCAGTCGTCTCTAACACTAGAAAGTCGATCATTTCACGTATTTATTACGTACAATTCTTATAAATAATTAAAGGTTCACAAATTTCTCTAAGTATTAAACGAAATACAATAGAATAGACCAACTAAATAGAAGTGTTCATTACTGTTTACAAGTCAGTCAGTCAGTTACAACGTAGGACCAGGCACATACATGCATCGGTCCAAGTTGCCACACCCCATTAGCACGGCAAGCCGAACACCAGATTCATAGAAGCAGATAACTCAGTGGTGTAATATATAAAGAAAAGATTTTATGTAAGGATATAGTACAGAAAGAAATAGTTCGTAGAAAGAAAGGTATAAAGTAATTTTAGTCTCATAGTTTAAAGAAAGACATAGAGTGTATGCACCTACGCCATTGTGATCGATTCTGAGCCACGTCAGCCACAGTCCCCAACCATTGGTTACGATAGTCGCGTGGACCCCAACTAAATAGTCCTCATCTACCAACATGGCTCAGACTAGAAGTTAGTGACTCCAAGCACTGATGCCATGTTTTGGTTTGACCGCCCCTAACTTTCTCCAACCATCCCCAACACTAGTGTCAGCATTGCGCATCGTGGTAATCGGTGTTCAGGCATACGTAACACGTGGCCCCACCATCTTAGTCGACGAAGATTTACAACCTCATCAACTGATTTACCATCATTCCCTAATACCCTGCGTTTAACCTCTCTATTACTTACTCGGTGATCCCAGCAGATGCGAGCAATATTCCTAAGGCATCTGTGGTCAAATACTAGTAACATACGAGTATTTCCTACTCTTAGTCGCCACGTTTCGCAGCCGTAAAGTAGAACAGAACAAACTGCTACGCAGTATACTCATCTCTTAATTAATAGACGGATATCTCGCCTTCGCCATTGGTTACTGTTGTAACGTGTGGACTGCAGGTTTTGATAAGCAGCATTTATATCGATCGGTTGCAGTGACACGTTTAACACGTAAGGACGACCTAGAGTCCCGATTGGTCCCGCTTCCCTGTCTAGCCCAGCCAGTTGAGTCCAGAACACAAGTCACAGCCTCTGAGGTATGAATCATTATATTTCAGACATACTCTATTTATATACTAACCAAACAGACCACATCGTACCATAAAAATAGAAAACAACATTTACACAATATCTAACGAGTGAAATAAATAATGGCCGATAGGGAATGCCCATTTAGGGTCCAAGGACATCATTAGACTTAACATGATAATGATTGGCATATCCTCAGTATCCAAAACAGTTACGTAGGTTTGCAAAAGCCAAACGAGCTTTACGAATCCGTGCAGAAATTTCGTCAGACACCAATCCATTAGCGCTGATCAGACTTCCATGACAAGTGAAGTTGTCAACGCGTTCGACTAATTCACTCCCTATCTTTATTTCAGGTGTTGACGCAGATGAGTCCTGAAGCATGCATTTAGAGGTGGAGAAGAGCATCCCAAACGTCTTGGCATTGTTGCTCAGTGCTGTCAAAAGACTTTGCATTTTATCAGCGTCTTCACCAAACAAGACTATATCATCTGCGTATTCTAAGCCGATGAGTGGACCTCCTGGAGCAAAATTGCGAGATTTGTTGGAATACTATTTACTTACATTGTTACCCATAAATCTCGTGGTCAATACATGAATATTTAAAAATGAGGTTTTTAGATCATAGCTAATCAGTCAATATGTAGTTCTAACACGATGATAGCATATTTAACAGAAAATCTTATACTGGATTCCGGAACAGTGAATAGTCAACGCAAATAGCCTTATGCATGAAAGAGCTCCACGTCAGGAATAACGACTAATGAAATTGAAATAATATACCCAATGAAATTAGATAAAGTATTGAAAACAGAGTACTATTTTACAATTGCTGAATTTGAACTCACATCATATTCTCGTAGAAATGAAGCACCGCCAATAGCGTACAAATCAGCATGCATTACGCTGAATGCTATATAAGATCCAGGTTTAGCATAACCTCTGATTTCTAATGTATCTTGATTTAAATCTTTTCCACGATTAACTTGCATTTGTACATTATTCAAATGTGTATAATTCGCATAAAATGTCAATGAATCTGATACAATTTCACTATTGTCTTTAATAAAATATGCCACAATATGTGATATTGGAAACATGTAACGTGATACAGCAATTGAAAATGTACGTGATGTAACTGCATTTGGCATACGTAATTGATCAGTTGCTAAAATATTTCCGTTAGAAACAACCTAAAAAAGATTAATTGAATTGATGAGGAAGTTGGTGACAATAAACGGTAGACAGTAAGTTAATACTAAAAGAAAGCAGATATGCCTGTGTTAAATTATACAATATTTTATTATAATGATTTGTTATGCGTGGGTAATCTGTATTAAAGATATAGCTGGATTCGTATATAGAACTGTTTTGCTCCATTTAGAGCTCGTCGGCTGGAAAAGCCAGGATCCCAGTGCTGGATTTAGAAACAAATTTACACTTCAAGCGAAGTTTAAACGTATTTCAGTTCATTAGAATAAATGGTGACGCGGCAATCACAGGTTTGAAACTGACGTTTTTACAATTCATGAGTTACTAAGTGGTCTTATACTAGAACAGTATAGCTAATTACTTGTTTTCATACTAGATGGAAAATTTAGAAGTTTGTCACGAATTATACAATCCGCCTGAACATCTTTCACAATTGGTTGGTGTTCTTAACACTCCATGTGGAATAATTACGTAGTGTACAATGGAAATTATCTATTTCTGACGAGAACGTTTGGCATCTGGTAAAAGTATTTGGACTAATGAGAAATAAGAATGGACAAAAAACTATGCAATGAAATAGATTATTGTCTATTTTCAATTTAAACTGATCAAAGTACAGAAGGACAATTATTAAAGAGTGTTGTAGAGATTGCTTAACCTGAAATTTCATAAAATGGATTGACCTTGTTAAGGAGTCTCGAACTGAAAAGAAACAACTGTCCAGTGTGTTATATGCTGAGAATGATGAATGGTATTGTTGGGATCTATTTATAGACTGATAATATACATATATTCTCATTGTATAATTGTTAACTAAACTACATATACTTATATTCCTTTTATTGCAAGCTCGTAATTGACCCATTGGTTATTATTACATGATTTACTATTCTCAAGTTATGCCCACTCTATCAACTACAGTCTCCCACAATAACAGCCACTTTTGCCTAGATCCTGTACAAATGTTATTTTCTATTTTATAGTGTGATGTGGTCGGATTCTGCTTGTATATAAACCTAGTACGTTTGAAATATGTGGTTCGTATCGTGGGGGATGAATTTAGCGTTCTGAACTTAACAGGTAGGGCTAGGCTGATAAAGGGCCAATCGGAACTTTAGGCCGTTCGTACTAGTGTATGCGTTTTTAGTTTTGTCTTATAAGTCAGTGTATCTAAATTAGCAACCGTATTTCGCAATAATCGAATAAGCTAAGAGCATAACACAATGCTTCTTGATTTCCAACGGTTGTCTAACCGACAAAAGATGGGTGACTTGTTTAAAGCATCATTCAATGACACTATGGGTTATTTTAATAAGAATACTATTGAAATAATTCAACCAAATAACTTACCACATAATGTATTTTATCAGTAGGATAATTAGTTTGTACATGTATAACCATATATTCATTTACCTTGTAAAATCCAGTGAAAAAAACAATAGTAACTTCATAATATTACGTAAGACGAGGAAGGCTTTATAAATGGAGTTTTAGAAAATTTTCGGTCTATGCTTATAAGCATATTGAAAAGTATCAATCTAACTTATTCCGTAATATTTTTAAGGATGACCGAATTCAATAAATCTAATTGTTAAATCTAGAACAATTAAGATCTACAGCAAACGTGTCGATAGCCGTCATTACTTAGTGATTTAAAGAAAACTGTCAGACTGATACGATTCGACAAGTGAGGACTTTTTATTTTCATATACTATCTTGTATGTTTACTGAAACTCGATATGTTTAGATAACTTGCTGTTTGTTGCTATGGAATTAAAGTAATGAGACAAGATCTTAGTAATCGAAACAGCTAAGATGTTAAAAAAAACTGTGTTCAACACAGAAGTGCATCAGTAGAACTACATCAAAATAGCGTAGACCTAATTAAATAACCATATCTAGTGTGTCTTAAACTCAACAACATGAAAATAGACATCAGGTGAAATGGGAAAATTCTTGGGTGAAATGAGCAAGAATGAAATTGACAGAAGTATAAAGTTATAAGGATTAATGAATCTATCCTTCGAAAACGGTCATAGATTTTGAATTGTGATACTTAAATTCTCTTGTTTTTATTGTGTGACATTGATGGGATCACAGATAAAGAGTCTAAACAACGATTCATGGTAATAAATATTAAGAATCAAATCCAAAAACGTTTTGACTAAAGCATTATTTACTTTTTTACAAAATACCATAAAAAAATTAGTTTAGTATTTTTTTGAAAAATGTTATATTACTAACTAATATTATTCAGTAGTGTATTGTATTCATTTTATTGTTTTCCTCAAATACTTTCGTGCATATTGAGATAAAGTTTGTGTAGCTCATTCAAAAATTGCTATTTTGTGACCATAAGTTGGTGAAAATCTCAAATTAAACAAATTTTTATGTACTTATACGTCTTTATCTTGAACTTCAGAAGGTGTAGATCATACGACAATTTGCTAATAATTTCTTCAGTGCAGTTTAATCTGTATCAGTTGTGAAACACTTATCCAATGAAGGTAATCGATGAAAGGGTTGTGCATGACTATGGATTGATTGAAGCTAAACACTGACACTGTTAGATCCCGGCTTAGTGGTCAGAAAGTCAGGTGCTTCCGCTCAACGTCGGAGGTCCTGGGTCAAATCTCCGCGTGCTGGTTCGTGGATGCGAACTACTGAGGAGCCTCATATTACGACGAAACGGGTATTTAGTGCCTCCAGGTTTAGAATAGTGAAACAACTAAGATTAGTCCGTGATTTCAACTGTGAAAAGACAATTTTACACAAATTTTTACGGAAACGAAGTACTTCATAGTAATGATTATTGAAAAAAAGACGTCACGTTTACACAAACCTTACAAATCTATATGATCAAATGATCTTCAGTTAGTTGTGGACAAGTTTGTTTAGGGAATAAATAATTATAGGTTGTTTTTTTAAAAACTAAGATTGACAACTTATAATAAAAATCATTCTTTCTCTGTAGGTATCAATGCTTAGGTTGGGCTTGATAGTTTAAAAAAATTGAGGGTTGAGTAGAAAGCTAACAATAAATATATTTTTTGCTATGTCCTAATTAGTAGAAAGATTGTACTTCTAATGTTTCATTCCATAATCATCAGAATGGAGATTTTATTAATTCTAATAGTTGAGTTCATGAGTCAATCTAGGCTGGACCATCATTAAAAACCTGGAAGCACTGGACGGACATTTCGTCCTAGCATGGGACTCCTCGACAGTGCGCATTCACGATCTCGTACGTGGGACTCGAGCCTAGGACCTTCGGTCTCGCGCACTGAAGAGGAGTTCCATACTAGGACAAAACGGCCGTCCAGTGACTCCAGGTTTTCAATGGTGCTCTAGTTTAGACCAGCTAACGAATTTAACTATCAGTATTCCATATTTATCAATAGCGGAACTCATTAGTAGATCAGTTTATCATGTCAAGGTAGGATTAACTGAATAAATACATAATTTAGAGCAAAAAAAGACAACTATCATAGAATTATTTAGGCATATATTATTCATATTCAGTTTTACTTTAGGTGAAAAAGTTGATGTTGATAACTGTAAATATGCACCGGAATAAGAGTTCACAGCAAATAAACGTTGTTGATCATTTGATAAAATTCGATCTGTTTCATCAATGTACCTAGCCTGAAAGTCAACAATAATCATGTTTAATTATGTAAACAAATATTTATTACGAACATAACACACATATGTATATCATAACAATTTAAATTTCCTTCAGTCATTTTACTCCAAGATAGTAGACGTTTAGTGAATTTTAAGTTCAATCGTTGATGTTTTCATGTTAACCCAATGCATGTTAGTATGACAATTCTTCTGTGTTATTAATATGTAAGTATATTCACTAATTAACCTTATTCACCTCTCTGTCATCTGATAGAGTTTTCTACTAGAACTAAGAAAAAATTCAATTATCACCAACCAATTCACATAATGAGTGTGGTAACGAGATTTGTAAAAATAACCCACAGCTAATCTGGATGTTAGAAAGTGTTAAATATCAAAGTTTGGACACCCCTCCCCCCAGATGAAAAATAAGAAAAAAATAAATATTGATGCTACGTTAGTTAACGTATGCTATCAAATAGTTACTGACTACAAATGGAGGGAAAAATGCTATAGTAATAAGATTCATTTACTTAGATTATTATTATTATTAATGGCTTCATTCAATATTAGATCTTTGTTACACTATAAAATTCTCGGTATAGAATAGTTCAACAAGCTCCCTCTTCTTATTTCTTGATCAATCCTGAAGATAAATATTGAGTGATCATCAGTTAAATGTTTGCAATTTAAGAATTGACATCTGACTAATGTACATCCTTTTTGATGAATATTTCCAGCCACCACAATGTCAGCGACTGTATAGTTTTGTAGCTTATTCAGTGAAAGGTCGTAAAATTTTCATAAACGTACTTGAATAAGTTATGTAAATAATAGACAAAATGATATGTCAAAACAAACAAAAAGCAGATAACTTGTTGGAATATGTAGGTGACAGGAACAAGTAATGTGGTGTGAGCTACTTATATCCACATAAGTAGTATTTGACGATGGTCAGACATAGAATGTATTTCAATGGAAGATCGAGAGGGAAAGAATGGGAACGAAAAGCAATTCGTATGAAAATGTATTAACAATGAAATCCGAGACGATAGACCGATATTTGCAAAAGTGACAGTCAAGTTTGAGACAAATGATTGATATTTTGCAAATAAACTATTTACTGTATGGTTCTCAGATTTTAGTGAGATGTTCTTTAGTTTAGTGCTCAAATGCATTCGGTTGTCCCCATTCGTATTCTTGTTCACTACAGTAGCCTAGATATTCCAGCAGACCGCCAACATCAGTCAGACTATTTCTGTACTGTAAAATGCTTGTATGATCATATCACCCACTTTATTAAAAACAACATTAATAAATGTAGTGATACGGAATTTGTCTATGGAAAGTATTTACATTTCATATTTTCTATACGAACTCTGGGTGACATATAAACACTCATGAGTTGTATAACATACAAAAGGTGTTTAGTCGATAGTAATTATTGATACAATAACACAATAGTGTTACATCTGCACGTATGGCACACGTAGTTGGGTGTTACCTATCAAAAGGTATCTATACAGATAAGATAATGTGATCTAATTACTAGACACAGCTGGGCATTTTAGCGGTGCATCTGGCTACTTTTATCAGAAGACATATATATGTAAATCAAAGTGGTTTTATACAATTTATTATAGATCGAAAGAGGAAGAAAAGGCTTTTGTCTTAAAAACTGTTATAGTAAGCCGATCAAAAGTCTCCAAATGAAAAGGCCATCCTTTTCCAATCAAAAATCTAACAAATGAACGTGATTGATTAATAGATGGTTATATTCTCTAAGGTATATGTATATGTATATGCTTACGCATGTGAACCAGTTTAGCACAACAAACTTCATTTTTGACTGTTAGCCTTCTCACACACTAGTCGGTCATCGAGTAGCTTATAAGGAGTTTATGTATCAGTATCAGTCTACGAAATAGTGATCCATAATAAAAACATTTGATTAGTACTATCATTAAAATATACAAGAAATGACCATCAACTAATATTACCAAATTAGTGTAATTGAAATAGAAATAAAAAGTAATTATTTAAACTTACTTCTAATCTATAAGTGATACAACCATCTCCAGTTGGTCTATAAGTATAACGTATTACACCATCATCTGATATAGGTAGAGTGATTTGTTTTTCAAAAGTATTATCAAGACAATAGAATGAGAGTGTAACTTTACGATTTCCACTATATTTTACCATACTACCATCTGCCATATAAACAACCAACTGAGCAAAAAATTGGAAAGAAATTTTAATGAAATAAAATAAATATCAATATCATGAGTCAGTTGAAGCTAGACCACCATGGAAAACGGACGTCCAGTGCTTCCAGGTTTTCCATGGTGGTCTAGCTTCAACTGACTCATGATCTTAGCCATTGAAATTACTTTAATATCCACAAAACCCGTCTGATATTAATCAAATATCAATATGTTCTTTTTTAAGAGAAAATTATACAAAATATGATAACAATGAAATAAACACTTAATGATCGGTTGAACAATGTAGTTTAACTGACTGTATGCTAAATGGTTCTATGGTTAACATTACATTGAATTACATAACGATTAATGGATTTAAGATGAATATACCAAAAAGGTTTTTTTACGATCTGATTATCTATCTACTCGAAAAATGATATGAAAGTAGAGTTTTGTAAACTCCACTATACTCTCTCTACTAATTATTTGAAGATTAATAACACGGTGAGAATTGATGAGAACAATGAGATAACATTTAATACTTTGACCTAGGTGTTGAGAACTGTGAGCAAGGTATAATATGTTGGGGAGATCCATAAAACTCCTCGAAAGAAACAGCCAAAAAAGGCTCTGAAAACACTGAGAAGCATCTTATCCAGTCAGTGTTCAGTAGAAGCTTTGCCAGAAACATTTACAAAAGTGAAAAGTCACATGTCGAGTTTCTGATTGGATGATTAATTATACTGCAACTATGTTTCGTGGCATTCCGGAAACCAATGAACATCTAAAATAATATAAAAACCCTAGATTTTCTGTACATAAACGAACTTTTGGAGTAAAGCGTTCTCTTTGATATTTTGCGTCTTTTCTTTCATGTTCAAGTAGATTTAGCCTGGGGGCTACTAGAAGGGTTTAGGAACCGAATGTAGCGTCCAATTAGATGACTTATCATAATATAAAATGTAAAGAATCTAAAGTAAGTAAATACATATAAATATGTATGATAAAGACTAACTTACGTAAACAGTGAAATACATATTAGGTTTAAAAGGTCGAACCATACCGCCAAGAAATTTAATTAATGGATTAGAAGAATATACTTTTGTAAATGCCCAACCAGTTCGATGAGTTTTTTCCCACCAATTAAAATAGGTTACATTTACCCAAATTTCTGTATTAGCTAAAGAAGAATCTGTTGTAGAACTACTTATAGCTTGACGTATTTCAGACATAGGTAGTAGAAAATCTCCAATACCATCTAACTGAAATATAAATATAAAACTGATGCAAAATTTATACATAACTAACATTTAAACAAAATCATAAATAAACAATTTATTATCAATATAGGGTTGTGGAGATTACTAAATTTTTGATTGAGATCATGAAGTGATTGATGTTAGCTAACTCAGTACAATGGAAGATGTTCGTGAAATTTCGCGGATTGGTTGATGTTAGACATTAACACCATCAGATGCCGACTCAGTGGTCTAGAGGTCTAGCATTCGCGCGTGAGACTAAAGGCCCTGGGTTCAAATTCCGCGAGCGGGATCGTGGGTGCGCACTGCTGAGAATTCCCACAATAGCACGAAACGGCCGTCCAGTGCTTCCAGGTCTTCAATGGTGGTCTAACATCAATCAGTTAATGATCTCAATCAAAAACAATTTATTTAATAATCAAGTCTAAACATACATGGTGTTAAGATCATTCATTCAATCTTAACTGAGGTATACTTTTTGCAAATAAATATGCTCATTGAATTCGAGAAAAAAAAGTAAGTATATAAATGACTACAATCAAAGATTAACCCAGATTTCTTAAAGGTTTCACGAATCATTTTGTTTGAAACATGTTGAGAATAGATTTAGCATTGATTTATTGAAGTAATTAATCAAAACTATTAAGAAAAAGACTTATCAATAAAATTAATGTATCATTGTTTTGTTACGTTATTATTATTCAGTATTTCGACAACTTTCTTCTTATTTCTTGATCCATCCTGACGTTAAACGTTTGGTGATCCCCAGTTAGATGTTAGAGTTCATGAATCGACATCTTCATGATGCATATTGTCAGCAACCATAACGTCCCTGATTGTACAGTGAAAGGTCGTAAACTTTTCATGAACGCGCCTAAGTAGGTTATGCGATTAATAGACATAATTATGTGTTAAAATAAAGAAAAAACAGATAACTTGTTCAAATATTTTGATGACAGGAACAGGTAGCCCAGATATTCAAGCAGGTCACCAAATCAATCAGAACTGAATATCTATAGCTTATTGAAGCATATATCTGATTAAAATATCTCTGAACAGTTTTACCATACTTAATCTTCATTTCATAGCATAGGAAACTTAGAACTCCAATAATGTAAGAATACAATACACAAGAATATAAAACCATATTAGTACTTAAACAGAGGTTGATTTCATATCCTACATAAATGTAATTCACTGATCTGACCGTTATAGCGCTGGATTGTCAGCAAATGGTCATTGAACTGACTCATCTGTATGAACAGATGATTAATATTACTAAACATTACACAAAAACAAAGCAAGTCTTGAAGCTCAATATGGAATTATTTACTTGATAAGTGAGTTATATTAAATTACTTATCGAATAGTTCTGTTTCTAGAATTTTTTAATGAGGTCAAAGTTTAAATATTTAGCATAACTGGAAAGTCTTCGTAATAGGTCTGAGAAAGAAACATGATAATCTTATATGCTAAACTTAGGAAACTAACTCAACAGCCTAACTGATATCCTAAGAGCAAAGAAAAAAAATTCAAGTCATGCTTTATTTACTGAGAGTTATTAAGGATTAAAGGTTAGTTATCATCCGGAAGTATATCAGAAATCAAAGAGAATTGTTTCATAACAGTTTTAGATTTATCAGTAAGGGACGCACAGTGCACCATATTTTTTCAATATTTTTTTTTAGCTGATCCCAGTCCGTGATAAAAAGTAACTCCATAATCATCCATTTTTAAAAGAAAAAACAGTTGTTTTTCAATTACTCATCAAATGCAAATAAATAAAATACTGAGAACTGTTTTAAGATAGTAAAGTGTAGAGATGGTTGAACTTTTTTAGTTTTGCTATGAGAACTGACTTTAACTAGACAACCAATGGAAACCAAGAAGGACTAAATATCGGTTTATTTCTTGTACGAGAGTCCTTAGTAGTGCATATTCATGACCTCACAAGGGTTGTAGTCCGGAGCCTTCAAATTCTGCGGAAAGTTTTCGGAATTCAGAACATTAATTCGGAATCCAGTGATTTATTCAATCAGCAATATTGACTTGAAGCTTAGTAGCTTAAAGCTGAAGTGCATGGTCTATTAGTCCTGGCTTTAATCTTAAGTAAGCTCGTAAATAAATAGTGTTAAGAACTCCCATACAAGGACGAAACATCTACTCAGGGCGTTTCGATGCTCAGTAGCTGTTTAACTAAAGTTTGTCTGCGATATATGACGATAAAACGAAAATCTTTTGAGTTATGGAAACAGGCTGAATGGTGTGATGAATCCTATAATAAGAATCTTTAAATAATTTTGCCATACTTTTAGTCTCTAATCAACAAATGTCTAAAAATACATTCTGCAGAATTATTATCGGTATTGATATGATTTGAATATTGGAGTGATTCACTAGTCGATAAAATTCTTGACTTTCAACTATTGAGTTTTAAACTCAAATTGCTCCACTTATACTGGACTATCAGGTAAAAATCATTGAAAGTCATACGTAAAAAGTGTTACTTAGTTCTGAGCATACAAATATATGCTTGTTAATAAGGTTAAATTAACGTTTATTTGACTGTGAAACATCATGCATGATCTACATAAATCTCAAGTGGTATACCTTATCAAAGTTATTATCACTAGAAATTTCGATTAATGCATTTGTAAATATCAAAAGACCTTTATAATTGATAAATAATGAAAACACATAATCAGTCAGCAACAACATAGAACTTCGTACGTACATACACCAGTTCGATTTACCATACCACATTAGCACAGAAATACAATTGTCGATTCAAATCCCATAGTAGTAGAGGTAGTAAAAGTGTAGGCAGTAATCGGAAGAATTAGGGTTCGATTATGTTATTCAAGGAGTATAATCCAGTGAAATAAATTTGGAAAGAGAGAGTAGGGAGATAAATAATTCAGAAGATTAGAATTCGGGATAACACAAAGAGTAGATGCACCTGCGCCATTGCAAATGATTCTGAGCCATGTCATTCAAGGTCTCTAACCATCGGTCACTATCGTCTCGCGATCCCAACCAGGTAGTCTACATCTACAAACATGGCTCAGTTCACTTGTCAGTGACTTCATGGATTTGTGCCATGTTTTGGTTTGGCCGCCCCACATAATCAATAGTAAGTGAATGTATCATACTCCATTCCGCTCCAAGCCATACAAAAAGTAAAGATTAAATAGTTTGAATCAAAACACTAGTAGACTGAATATTTAACAATCTATACCTAATTGAACACAGAACTAGGAAAACGATAGCTCATTTCTGTTGGTAAACAATCTGATATCTTAAGAAAAGGATGTCTACTCATTGAAGATGAATTTATGTGACTGTAAAGAAAACAATAAATAAACTTAGATATACACTTACTGCTAATAAGTAACGTCTGAATTCAGCTCGAGGTGGGTTAGTCCAACGATCAGCTCCCGATTTCCTTAGTTGAATTAATACGGTAGCATTGCCTTTAACAGCTTTTCCACTAGTATAATTTGCAGATATTAAACCATAAAGGCCAAGTTGATTATCGGTTATTCTAAGTGGAAGAGTTACATTTACATCCCATAAAGGTCGCCCTTTTTTTTAAAAAAAATAGTTGAAAAACAGTAAAATAATTAACTATTTCAGTTAATAAAACATTTAATAAATCAATTTTTAATGGAAAATCTACTTGTTCACTACAAAACAGTTAAATTCAAATTCACTGGGTATTGTATACTTGAATCTTTTCATTAATGTTTAGGACTGAAATTGATCAGTCTATTATTGGCAGGTATGCATACTGTCCGTATTGACTTGATATTGACTTAATTCACAAGCACTTAGGATGATTCAAGTAAACAATACCAAGTGAATTTAAACTTCACTCCATTGCAAAAGTAAGTGGGTATCAGGACTCAGTAGCTAAGTGTATAACGGAGTGGCGTTTGAAGCGATCGGTACTGGATTCGAGTCTCAGAGTGAACATCAACTCTGAGATGCAGGCAAATCCAACTGATGAGTCCTAAACCTGACGAAACACGTGTCCTGGATTTCACTGCTAGTTCAATTCAGTCGTTAAAACTATATAAAGAAAATATAAGATGTTACAACTAACCATAAATAGAATATTTGATGAACAGGTAAGTAAGTAAATATTATAGTTATGTTATTTAGTTGATAATTTTCTGTAGTTTCATTCAAGTTTTGATACAAATATCAGCATAGAAATGAATGTGAATTTTAGCAGAGAATTGTAGTGAACGAGGACACAAGTGAGGACAATCGAATGTATTTGAAACAAAATTACAGAACATCTTAGTAAAAAAGGAACGAATTGAGCGAAGAAATTTCTTTTCAATTAGTTTTTCATCATGGCTCTACACTAATATATATACGTTTTACAATAATAATATAATACTCATCGAGTGGATACGTTACGTAATAATTACATAATGACATTTAAATTAACATTAATTAATTGGAAGAAAGAGGATTATTAATATTCAAAGTGATCAAGAAGTTGCTAAGTTGCGTAATGTAAGAAACAAAGAAGGAACAGAATTTTAGCGGATGGTCAATAGGATGGTAGTTACGTAAGAATCAAGAGATGAATGTTGAGAAGTTATAAGGCTCAAAAGTGATAGAAACAAAATTACAAAAATTTTAAAATAAATAAAATAAGTATGAAAAATAGTTCTTCTGACGGAAATGTTATACTGAAGGCCAAGGGAGAGAAAGTGGTTGTACGAATTTCTTTTGGATGCAAAGGTCAGGTTTGTGAAGATGGATTGCGATGGCTTCCGCAATGTGCAAAAGGCGCACTCGTAAACCATGTGGTAGATTTGATGGAATATTGTAGATAACCTTAGAAACCAACTTGTATCCAAAGTTGTATTGGAAATCTTTACGTCGCTCTCGAGTTCGACCAAATGAAAGGACTCTCAAACGCTACGCCCTTAACCAAATCGATTCTCTAAACTCATACATTGCTGAAATGGTAAAAAATATCAACGAGAGAATTTATGCTGTAGATGATCTCCCTGATAAATTAAGAGATCAGTATCTGGACTATGTGGAGATGGTTGTTAACTCAAGAAAAGAAAAGAAAAGAATGAAACTTAAGAAAAATCTAGACAAACAGATCCCAGAAATGAAATTTCCATCCAATCCAGGTCAGTACGTGCACAATTTCTCTAGTGTTATACTGGATAAAACTGCGGTAGAAGCGTTATCATTAGGCCCTAAGTTTTGTGACTTCAAGAAAACAGTAAATAAAATGGACGTTGAGATTCAATTCGAAAATCTTTATGCTCAAACGGCAGAATTAGTAGCTTCATCAAAAGATAATGTTGAAAGATTTAAATCAACACTAGTCGACTGTTGTTTTAAATATTTAAATCATAGACACAACACGAAAGGGATTTTGACGAAAAAACATACAGAAGCTTTAAGACAACTTAAAACTAATGACAATTTATTAATCATGAAACCTGACAAAGGACATGGAATAGTACTCATGGACAAAAATGACTACATAAACAAAATGAAAGCCCTTTTAAATGATAAAAGCAAATTTCAGAAACTGTCTGTAAAGAACGACATAGCAGATAAGATTGAAAAGCAATTAACAGATTCACTGAAAGAAATTAAACAACAAGGTTTTATTTCAGAAAAGATGTTCGAAATGTTGAAACCTACAGGAACGATGACACCAAGACTATATGGCCTACCAAAAATACACAAAAGTGGCTTACCCCTTCGACCAGTTTTAGACATGAATAACTCAGCGTATCATACTATAGCAAAATGGTTGGTGCAAATTCTTAAACCATTACACAAAGAAATTGTCAAGCATAGTGTCAAGGATTCCTTTGAATTTGTTGAGAACATAAAAAATCTATCAGTCAAGAATAATTTCATGTTATCACTTGATGTATCATCTTTATTCACTAACATTCCATTACAAGAAACAGTTGATTTTATTTGTAATGAACTAACAGAGAGACGTATAGAAACCCCGATTCCAGCATCCTCGATAAAACAGTTAATTCTCAGATGCACAATGAATGCACAATTCAGATTTGACAACGAATACTATAGACAGCTAGATGGAGTTGCCATGGGATCACCATTGGGCCCTCTACTGGCTGATATTTTCCTTGCAAAACTGGAAAACGGACCACTCAAAAGCATAATTAGCCATTTACCAACTTATTATCGCTATATAGATGATACCTTCATAGTATTAGAAAAAGAAAATGATAAGCACAACCTACTTAATATATTTAATAACGTTCACCCATCAATTAACTTTACATCAGAAGAGGAACAAAACAATAGCATATCTTTTCTAGATGTCCAACTAACTAGAAGAACAGATGGAACTATAAAAAGAAGAGTACACAGAAAGTCAGCAGCTGGTCAATACACTCATTTCCACAGTGCAGTTCCAATCAGATACAAAAGGAACTTAATAAAGATCTTGACACATCGCGCTAGAATGATCTGTTCTGAAGACACTATTGAAGATGAATTGAACAATATTCGGAACCTACTCAGTCTGAATGGGTACCCAATGAAATTCATCGAAAAACATATGACGGAGAAGAAAAAAAGGACAAAAATACCCACTGTCCCCAAGAAGGTATTATTCATAAAACTACAATTCATAAATGACTCCATTGAAGAAGTCATGACTCAGAAACTAAGAAGAGCAGTACAAAAAACATTTAATGCTGCCAAATTAAATGTCATCTTCTACAACCAACCGAAAATAAGAACATCCATTAAAGACAGGCTGCCAGAATTCGCCAAATCTATGTGTATCTATCGTTTCAACTGCTCCTGTGGAGCCAGTTATATTGGGCGTACGATTCGGCAAGTCCGTCACCGCATTACTGAACATCATCCAACATGGCTAAGCAAAGGACAGGTGAAAGTGATTAAAAGTTCTATTCTCTCTCACTTGGTTGACACAGGTCATCAAGTCGAAGTGAATAAAGCTTTTAAGGTTATCTACAATATTCCATCAAATCTACCACATGGTTTACGAGTGCGCCTTTTGCACATTGCGGAAGCCATCGCAATCCATCTTCACAAACCTGACCTTTGCATCCAAAAGAAATTCGTACAACCACTTTCTCTCCCTTGGCCTTCAGTATAACATTTCCGTCAGAAGAACTATTTTTCATACTTATTTTATTTATTTTAAAATTTTTGTAATTTTGTTTCTATCACTTTTGAGCCTTATAACTTCTCAACATTCATCTCTTGATTCTTACGTAACTACCATCCTATTGACCATCCGCTAAAATTCTGTTCCTTCTTTGTTTCTTACATTACGCAACTTAGCAACTTCTTGATCACTTTGAATATTAATAATCCTCTTTCTTCCAATTAATTAATGTTAATTTAAATGTCATTATGTAATTATTACGTAACGTATCCACTCGATGAGTATTATATTATTATTGTAAAACGTATATATATTAGTGTAGAGCCATGATGAAAAACTAATTGAAAAGAAATTTCTTCGCTCAATTCGTTCCTTCTTTATTTACCAAATGGCATAATGGGAATTTTCACTACATTGAAACGTTCTGAGCAAACATTTGCGTTAAAGGTTCTCAATGAGTATCTGAAGTATAGCGCAAGGCTCAGTGAGGCGATGACAAATGTTGATTTTATAAAGGAGTGCATAGAAACCAACTTGTATCCAAAGTTGTATTGGAAATCTTTACGTCGCTCTCGAGTTCGACCAAATGAAAGGACTCTCAAACGCTACGCCCTTAACCAAATCGATTCTCTAAACTCATACATTGCTGAAATGGTAAAAAATATCAACGAGAGAATTTATGCTGTAGATGATCTCCCTGATAAATTAAGAGATCAGTATCTGGACTATGTGGAGATGGTTGTTAACTCAAGAAAAGAAAAGAAAAGAATGAAACTTAAGAAAAATCTAGACAAACAGATCCCAGAAATGAAATTTCCATCCAATCCAGGTCAGTACGTGCACAATTTCTCTAGTGTTATACTGGATAAAACTGCGGTAGAAGCGTTATCATTAGGCCCTAAGTTTTGTGACTTCAAGAAAACAGTAAATAAAATGGACGTTGAGATTCAATTCGAAAATCTTTATGCTCAAACGGCAGAATTAGTAGCTTCATCAAAAGATAATGTTGAAAGATTTAAATCAACACTAGTCGACTGTTGTTTTAAATATTTAAATCATAGACACAACACGAAAGGGATTTTGACGAAAAAACATACAGAAGCTTTAAGACAACTTAAAACTAATGACAATTTATTAATCATGAAACCTGACAAAGGACATGGAATAGTACTCATGGACAAAAATGACTACATAAACAAAATGAAAGCCCTTTTAAATGATAAAAGCAAATTTCAGAAACTGTCTGTAAAGAACGACATAGCAGATAAGATTGAAAAGCAATTAACAGATTCACTGAAAGAAATTAAACAACAAGGTTTTATTTCAGAAAAGATGTTCGAAATGTTGAAACCTACAGGAACGATGACACCAAGACTATATGGCCTACCAAAAATACACAAAAGTGGCTTACCCCTTCGACCAGTTTTAGACATGAATAACTCAGCGTATCATACTATAGCAAAATGGTTGGTGCAAATTCTTAAACCATTACACAAAGAAATTGTCAAGCATAGTGTCAAGGATTCCTTTGAATTTGTTGAGAACATAAAAAATCTATCAGTCAAGAATAATTTCATGTTATCACTTGATGTATCATCTTTATTCACTAACATTCCATTACAAGAAACAGTTGATTTTATTTGTAATGAACTAACAGAGAGACGTATAGAAACCCCGATTCCAGCATCCTCGATAAAACAGTTAATTCTCAGATGCACAATGAATGCACAATTCAGATTTGACAACGAATACTATAGACAGCTAGATGGAGTTGCCATGGGATCACCATTGGGCCCTCTACTGGCTGATATTTTCCTTGCAAAACTGGAAAACGGACCACTCAAAAGCATAATTAGCCATTTACCAACTTATTATCGCTATATAGATGATACCTTCATAGTATTAGAAAAAGAAAATGATAAGCACAACCTACTTAATATATTTAATAACGTTCACCCATCAATTAACTTTACATCAGAAGAGGAACAAAACAATAGCATATCTTTTCTAGATGTCCAACTAACTAGAAGAACAGATGGAACTATAAAAAGAAGAGTACACAGAAAGTCAGCAGCTGGTCAATACACTCATTTCCACAGTGCAGTTCCAATCAGATACAAAAGGAACTTAATAAAGATCTTGACACATCGCGCTAGAATGATCTGTTCTGAAGACACTATTGAAGATGAATTGAACAATATTCGGAACCTACTCAGTCTGAATGGGTACCCAATGAAATTCATCGAAAAACATATGACGGAGAAGAAAAAAAGGACAAAAATACCCACTGTCCCCAAGAAGGTATTATTCATAAAACTACAATTCATAAATGACTCCATTGAAGAAGTCATGACTCAGAAACTAAGAAGAGCAGTACAAAAAACATTTAATGCTGCCAAATTAAATGTCATCTTCTACAACCAACCGAAAATAAGAACATCCATTAAAGACAGGCTGCCAGAATTCGCCAAATCTATGTGTATCTATCGTTTCAACTGCTCCTGTGGAGCCAGTTATATTGGGCGTACGATTCGGCAAGTCCGTCACCGCATTACTGAACATCATCCAACATGGCTAAGCAAAGGACAGGTGAAAGTGATTAAAAGTTCTATTCTCTCTCACTTGGTTGACACAGGTCATCAAGTCGAAGTGAATAAAGCTTTTAAGGTTATCTACAATATTCCATCAAATCTACCACATGGTTTACGAGTGCGCCTTTTGCACATTGCGGAAGCCATCGCAATCCATCTTCACAAACCTGACCTTTGCATCCAAAAGAAATTCGTACAACCACTTTCTCTCCCTTGGCCTTCAGTATAACATTTCCGTCAGAAGAACTATTTTTCATACTTATTTTATTTATTTTAAAATTTTTGTAATTTTGTTTCTATCACTTTTGAGCCTTATAACTTCTCAACATTCATCTCTTGATTCTTACGTAACTACCATCCTATTGACCATCCGCTAAAATTCTGTTCCTTCTTTGTTTCTTACATTACGCAACTTAGCAACTTCTTGATCACTTTGAATATTAATAATCCTCTTTCTTCCAATTAATTAATGTTAATTTAAATGTCATTATGTAATTATTACGTAACGTATCCACTCGATGAGTATTATATTATTATTGTAAAACGTATATATATTAGTGTAGAGCCATGATGAAAAACTAATTGAAAAGAAATTTCTTCGCTCAATTCGTTCCTTCTTTATTTACCAAATGGCATAATGGGAATTTTCACTACATCTTAGTAAAATCTGAGAACCAAATAGCAAATACTTCATTTACAAAATGTAAATAAATCGCCTCGGACTTTATTGTTTTTCTCGTTTCCACACTAATCATTCTTTGTTCTCATCCTTTTTTCATTAATCTTCTTAAAGCTGTGCCGCCAGGCATTTCACTTTTGATTGATGATACATACTACTTATATCTGTTGACATCAGTAGCACACACAACAGAATTACTTGATAAAAAGAAATAATCGCATTTAATTTCATTCTTAAGCATATACTATCTGTAATATAATCGAATTGTAAATACAATCCATATCAAATCATCCATTAAACAAAGTTTATATTATCAACAAAGGTATGTATAAAAATTTTAGTAAACTAATTTGTAAAACTTACAATATTCTTTAACTTGGAATGTTTTTTCAGCTGAAAATCTTTCATGATTAGCACGTATTAACCAAACACCTTCATGAACTTGATCGGATAATGGAAAATCTAATTCAATTATACCTGAAAAAATAATGAAAAAACTGTTATATTGATTTTTTTCTTTTTTTAAAATAAGAAATCCCAATAAATTATAGTTTTAGGCGTAGTGAACGAACACTCAGATGGGGAAGATCAATTTGTTTAGGCGGTCACTCTTGCAGTTGTTCTGCTCGTTGTACCACTTTCTTCTTTGCTGAAGTCTGTGCCACGCTCCCTGCCAAAATGTTGAGTCTGCTAGCGAGCTAGCCTCCGAATCGATACTAACCTGCCGGGTCATCTAAATCCGATATCCGTCCAGCACCCGGGACGTGCCACCCCTTTTATTTGTCGACTGTTATAGTCAACGCCGCTCCACCAGAGCACTCCACCCGACACCACATTCCTATGACAGACCGCTCAAACTAGTGCCTCCCCTCCGGGCCCCGTAATAGTGTCTGCAGAACTTCACCCTCTCAGCCTCTCTTTTAGCAGCGACACCAAATGAAGTGAACAAACATTCAGGCGAGGAAGACCAATTTATTATCTAGCACAACATTACAGAAAGTCTTAGTGAAATATGAAAACTATGCATTAAATATATCATTTGCAAATTTTCCATCAAGTGTCTCTTACAAGGATCACTGTTCCTCCATTTCTATTGCCATTACAATTACCATTTGCTTGCATTCATTCTCTCTTCAATTCGATCTACTCAACCTTCCGCTGTCAGACATGTCGCTTCTGACTGGCGTTAAATACTACTTGTGTCGACAAATATAAGTAGTATATACCACAAGGAAAGTGTAATTATCGTCATACATTGTAGTAAACAATTTAACTGTATCGTATACAAATTTATGATATAGTGAAAAAAAGAACTGCATTTGAAAAATAAACTTACATTATTTTTTATTTTCGGTTGAGTGATTACATAAAAAGCTGTTGGTTATATTTTACTATCTATTTCAATTCATATCTCACCACTTATAATCATCAATGTTGAAGTAGTCATAAATTGTTGCTGATATAGCGACATTTTTAATTTCTCGATACAGAGGGTAAGAATAATATCTAATAATTAGATTTTTAATTCATTAACAGAGAAATGGCCTGCAAAGTTTTAAGTTACATTTCATGACTCAAGTACAGTTAAGACCTTGGTACCAGTTGAGATGGCTGGGACACGTGTTACGTATGCCCAACCACCGACTAACTCGACGTGCGATGTTCAGTGGTATAGGAGTAGGTTGGAAGAAAGCTAGAGGCGGCCAAACCAAAACATGGCACAAGTCCATGAAGTCACTGAAAAGTGGACTGAGTCATGTTGGTAGGTGTAGACTACCTGGTTGAGGACCACGAGATGATAGCAACCAATGGTTAGAGACCCTGAATGACATGGCTCAAAATCGTTTGCATCCACTCTCTGTGTTCTCTCGAATTCTAATCTTCTGAATTCTTCATGTCCCTGTTTTTCCTCTTTCCAAATTTATTTCACTGGATTATACTCTTTAAATAACATCTCCAAACCCTAATCTTCCCGATTACTGCTTATACTCTTTCTACCTCAACCACTACGGGATTTGAATCGGCAACTGCATCTCTGTGCTAATGTGGTGTGGCAACTCGAACTGATGTACGTACGTACGAAGTTCTACATTGTTACTGACTGACTGGTACCAGTGATGTATAATAGGTAAGAGTAACAGAGTATTTAAACAATAACATAAAAACCATTGGTTTCAAACGTTTTGCTGCTGATCTAAGGAGAGGAGAAGTAGGATGTGCGGCTTCTGGGCGGACATCGGATGTAAATGGCTCAGCGGGTCGATATTACTATGGCGATCAGCGCGCTGACGGACTCGACATTTTGATAGTGAGTGTGGCTCAGACTGCGGGAAAGATTGAAGTGGCACGATGAGCAGAACAGTCGGAAGAGAGATCGCTTAAACGGGGGGGGGATGAGTATGATGTATGCTATCTTTGTCGACATACATAAGCGGTATGAAATATCAATCAGAAGTGCGATGCTTGGGAGAAGTAGAAGGTTGAGGTGATCGAATTGAAGAGAAAGAGAATGTAAACAGAGAGTAGTTGTAATAACATCAGGAACGAACGATGAGTTTTGTAAGAAACAATTGATGGAAAATTGATGGAGAATTGAAAATGAAGTATTTCACGTATGATTTTCATATTTTGCTAGAGAACTTTGTAATTTCTCATTGAATAGTAAATTGGTTGTCCTCACCTGAGTGTTCGATTACTAAACAATTTTTCTTCAATGAAATAGTAAGATATCTTGGTATATGTTTGTCACTAATCTCATGAGATTAAAATTTTTTTAACTACGAAGAAAGAGGGTAAAGTCATGTCATACTATCGACCTTGAGCGAGCTAATCAAAATTAAGACAGCGCCCTTGGAGTTTTGTGCGAAATTGAGAGCATAGTGTACGGTAGCTTGCGTGTTAATAATAACTAAGTGAAAATGAGCAATTCCTGGTGCTTAAAATACTTGAAATCGATGTGAAATATCGACAGTGCAATCAAACATTAAACGTGACATGACGTTTGAGCGAAACTGCAAGAAATATTTACTCTTGATCCAGATTAAGTTTAAGTAATTGTTGTGATCCAGCATGTAGTCAAGTTGTTTTGTGTAGCTGGATAGTAATCTCTCACTTTGACTCCTGACTCTAAATATCAACCCTAGTTTTTTTTAACTGTGTGAACAAAAGGGTTACTGTTATAACTTATGGTCTTGTGCCCTGTTAACATATAACGTAATGATACCACCAATTAGAGAACAGTGAATTATCGACCGGACCAATGACACATAAACCCGTACGAGCATTCTAGAGTACTTATCGGTCTTTCTTCCTGCCTAGCCCTTTCCGTTGAGTTTAGAACACCAATCTCAGCCTCCATGATATTAATCATGTATTTTAAACATACTGTGTTTATATATAAACCAAACAGACCACACCATACCATAAAATAAAAAATAACATATGTACAATGTCTAGCCAAAAGTGACTGTGATTGTGGGAGACTGTAATTAATAGAGTGGGCATAATTTAAAAATGATAGATCGTATAATAATAGTCTACAAGTCAAAATAAAGCTCATGATAAGAGGAATATGAATACACATAGTTACGTTACTTAAAAATTACACAATAAAAATACATGTATAGTATTATTCCATAAATGGATCCCAACAGTTACCATTCATTATTCTCGTCGGAACTGATGACAAAAACCTTACTGGGATATAATCCTAACTCATAACAACAGCACAACTCCTAATATGTTAGTTAACCTTCTGTCTTTATTGGAAAGAATAATTCAACAAGTAATGTTTAACTATTCATATCAAAACTATTAATTTACCGTAAGTTTACAGCATTTTACTGTTGGCTGTTTCATAATCAAACAATCCCTCTTCATTAGCTGAAAAGTTGCTCAAGTTTGTCAGTATAGCATACTTTTTACAGGAAATCTATTAGTCTTCTATCCATTTTTATTCTTTTTAGATTTCATAGTGATTATCATTACTGGAAACCAATTCATGTCAATAAAAGTCCGTATAAATTTGTAAAAATTAAGTTTTTCTTCAGTATTATGACACTTTTCATTTGGATTCCTGACATTCATGTTAAGATGAAAGATTTACTCTTTCGATTGAGATCATGAGCTGATTGATGTTAGACCACCATTGAAAACCTGAGAGCACTGGACGGCCGTTCCGTGTTATTGTGGGATTCCTCAGTAATGCACATCCATGATCCCACCCGCGGGATTCAAACCCAGGATCTTTGGTCCTGCACGCGAACGCCTAACCTTTAGACCACTGAGTCGGCATCTGATGGTATTAATATCTAACCTCAACCAACCCACAAAACTGCGCTACCATCTTTCATTGTACCTGTCTCTACCCGATACAGATTAGCCCCAATGGTCACGGCTTCTCACTAGAACTCCGAGAATTCCTTCACGAAGTTAGTCACTAGTGAATACATGGTACCAGTATAGGGTTGTGAAGATTAATACGTTTTTGATTGAGACTTACTGAATGATTTACAGCAAGATCATATATCTTATCGTTGAATTTCTAGTGACTACTGATATTGTTTTCAATAGTATCATTCAGTTGTTAAATAATTAGGATAATGGTACAGAATCATCAAGTCTATTAAAATTGTATAGAAGGAAGTATATAGTTAGTTAAAAAGACTTAACAAAATTACTGATAGTTTGATAAAATATTATCAGTTATTTGTTAAACATTAACTCACCTCCAATATTTGTCATTGGATTTAACCATCGTTTAAATAAATTCCCTGATGCATCAAGTACATCAATACTAACCAGAGAACCATAGGCAGGAGTTAAGTCTGGAAGCATTGGGATAACACGAAATCTGACTATTTGACTTTGATGGTATATTGGTTTACTAACCTTAATGAATATGTATAAAGTGTAGAATAGTTTTATGTATCGAAAATTATGAGATAATAATTATTTTAAAGATATGTAATTTAATTACTATATTTATTTCTTGATTCCTGAACTTTTATTCTGATTTGATTGAGATCATGAACTGATTGATGTTAGACCACCATTGAAAACCTGGAAGCACTGGACGGCCGTTTCGTGCTATTGTGAGACTCCTCATCAGTGGGCATTCATGATCCCGCTCGCGGAATTCGAACCCAGGGCCTTCTGTCTCTCACGCGAACGTTTAACCACTAGACCACCGAGTCGGCATCCAACGGTGTTAGTGTCTAACCTCAACCAATCCAGAAAATTGAGCCACTATCCACCATTGTCTTCAATGAGTTACTATCTCACAACACACCCCGTTGAACTCCACTGATCACGGCTTCTCACTAGAACTCCAAGAAATACCATTTAAGTTTAGTATTTAATCTTATGAACAAACATTCATTTCTAACTGTTACATGTATACCATCTTCCATTGTACTGAGTTAAATACCTGTTTCTACCTGAGGAGTCACACAATGGGACGAAACGACCGTCCAGTGCTTCCAGGTTTCAATAGTGGTCTAACATCAATAGGTTCATGATCTCAATCAAGAACCAATAAATATTGATTCCTTATAACATCTGATAAATCCCAGTAAAATTGAGTGATTATACTATTTCTGAATAAGATCTTCTTTCTTAAAACTTGATTATAGGCTTTATGTATTAACTTCTTTATCAAATAAGTCATTATCCGTTATATACTGGATTTTATTGAAGACAAAACCAAATATAACTGATCCACAGTATTAGAAAGCACAAAATGATCGTTCTTAAGAAAATGCTTCAGGAAACAATATAATAACAAAGTAATCAATAATACAGTGACTCTTGCTCTTAATTTAATCTAAAGTTTATCTACATTTTCATTCGTTTACAACTTTCTGCTGTGAGTACAAACAAAGTCACTGATCATTAGATTCTGTATTAAACTCCTTCATGTGAATGGATTTAACGTTATAATTGGTTATTTGATGAGTAGTGATCAACCAGTTGTGAAAATCTCAGACGTACAATAGGCCAGTCATGGCTCATATGGTTCAGTGGTAACACCTTAAATTGTTAGGCTTGATGAGGTGGGTTAGAATTCTACGACGATTATCAGTTCTCCCAAGATCATAGCTATTCCTACCTGATGAATGTCAAATAGCATGAAACCGAGGTCTATGGTTTCCTGTTGGCTACCTCCAGTCACTTAAAAAGATCTTATTTATTATCTACCATCTAAATGACAGAACGTTCTGGATTAAAGTTTACTGCCAACAAGGGAACTATTCATCAAGGTGTGTTGAAAAATGTATGCTCTCAGAAGAATTCAAATCCATGTTACTCAATACCTTAGCCAAACATAAGTTAACAGCTGATCTGACCAACGAGAGATCTTCTATAGTATTGAGATGTTCGTATACTAATTTATCAACGATTCGGCCAGTTGGTTATTGATCAGTATTCAATGTAATGTTGTCTAGATTGTCGTGTTGACCAGGTTGAAAGTTCATTGGTAAAATATCTAATTACAGAGATGTAAGGTACTTATAAGTTTAACCAAAGTTTTTAAAAATACATATTTGAAGTGACAGAGGAAACAGAACAACAAAATAAAGAGTACCTAATTTCGGACCTCCTGTAGAAATAAGGCCGAATTTCGTTCTTATAAACAATAATTATGTAAATATTTGTTGGAATACTTTAACTCAGAGAAAAAAAATCCGTAATATTTTATAATCACCTACATGTATAAAGATTGATTCAGATTGTTCAGAAAATGTTAGTTTTGTAAGATTTGAAAATAAAATTGAAGTATTGGATACAATAGAACCTTCAACATGTAACCAGTACGTCCCAGTTCGAGCATAATTGGGTACCTGAAAAAAAACGTTAAAAGAAAAATTCATTTTGTAAAGGTAACGACTATACAACTAATTCCATGCTTATTGACAGTCAAAATAATAAAATCTCAGGTAGAATTAATTCACATTTTAGTTAATTGTGCCTGTGGAAACATATTGACTTTAAAAACTAGATTTTTAAAGGTATTCTTGGTAAAACCCAAGTATATTTCTAATATTTACCGCGAGAAACATGTGCATATGTGGTAGGGAATCATAACTTCGTATAAGGTGAATTCAAATAACTGACGTTAAATACCGAAGCATCATTGTGTCATAATACCTGAAACCCAAGTTTGACCACGCCTCTTGGACAAATACGATCTTGTAGCAATAGGATATTAGGATATATTCTTAAAACACATCCGGCTATTGATTCGAGTTGACATGGATAATCTGAATACAATGCAAATATTTAAAAATGTGAAAAAGAGCTTACTTTTAATTGCATAATTCTCGTCCCAGGAGATTTAAATACTTCTCGACTAGATATAATTTCAGTTGAATTAACTTTAATGGCCAATCGTATTGTTAGCTGTTCATAGAGTAATTCAAATATGGATACACTGATTTGTACAAGTTCATTCGCTCTGATGCGATTCGGTGCAAGAATTACATACGACCTAATAATTATTAATAACTATTAAATAACTTACGTTAGTGGATCGAGTTTATAGCCTTCTTGTTTTTGAGCGTTCACGAAAGAAATAGTGATTGTAATGCATAATAACAAATAACTACACATTTGATTTCAGCTAGAAGGGAAAACAGACCTCATCGATTTATTTTATAAAAACAGTTTAACTACTTGTAAAACGTTCAGTAGCAAATTTAAATCACCATAAAATGTGTGGATATTTAAATTTCATTCAATGGCAATCACATTTTGTAATTTTTTTTTCAACATAATCTTTTATTTGCAAACTTATTATGAACCGAAATACAGGATATAAATCAATTGAGTTATTTAGCTTTCCTTAACGGACTTCGTACATCTGATTTACTTTTCTGGAAGTTCACGTTTTTGGAGTAACTTTGTGGATGCAGGACTCGGCATTAATCTATTGAGTTACAGGTTAAAGCCTATGTCCACGTACTTTGGTTTTGATGACTTGTTAGTATGAATAACACTCATGAAAAAGACCAAACCCGAATCGAATTATGCGAACGTACAATATCTCATATTTTGGAGTGATATGTACTCTTTAAAATAACTCAAACTCAGAGCAATTATTTTTGTAGTTATCTGGATATAATGATGCCGTTATAAATGATTAACTTTACCATTTTTTGGAATTTAATATATATATATATATATATATATATATATCTGTAATTGGTATTCAAGATGAACTCGTTTTCATAAAAGAGTTATAGAATCTAATTAGATCAATGGATCGGTCAAATTAAGCAATTCAATAACTCCGTATAGTCAGATTACATAAGTTAGTCCATAAAAAAGAAGTTACTGCTGATAAAAAATAATTTTTAATGGATTCTTCAAAGTTATAAACTCACATATTGAAACAATATGTGTATATGCATTTCCAGAAAGCCTGAGACTTACACTAGATGGAGACATGTTGTGAACGTTTCTGATACAAGGACCGAGATGACTAAAAACCTCTCTTGTCTTATCAGTCAATAAAAACATAGTTATCTCCAAATATTATTATAGTCCTATCACAGCATTAGATTAGATTTGTATAGGTGCTTTGTTTGTGAGTAATGATTCACACAATTTTGTGTTTTATTAATTTCACTTATCCATGACTAACCAATTGAAAGATCCAAAGCTGATTAATTGATAGCACATAAGTTAATTTTATGCATAAGATAACAAGATATTAAAACTTTTTATTAGTACACAGGATGTTAACACAATATTTCTATTTTTTCTAGGCAAAATTAGATTTAAATGAAGCAGTAAGTCATCATGATAACTATTACTAGTCATCATGTTGTCAGTTGCTATTTGCTTAAACCTAAGAGGGAAACATAATTTATAGGTGCTTTGATTGAAAAGTAGAACAAAATATGTTTCTTAGCTTATAGCAATGCATGGCAAATGCCTTACATACAACTGTGAACCTCATTTATCCATTCCAGTCTATAGGATCTATGTGCTTAGGTTATTCTAGTCTTCATTCACCGATCTATTTATTGATACTGGAGAATGCTTATATAGATCTGGAATTTCTACATCACTAAGCTTGATCATCGTGTTTCGCATTAGCGCTCAGCCTACTGTTGTACAGATGACTGTCAATTCAAATGGTAGGGTTTAGCAGCAACATATGGGTTGGCATGAAACACAGAGTATAAGAAAACAGTAAGGACGATAATATTGTAGGCTATTTCATTATACATATTGGGAAATCAACCCAAAAAGACGAATGAAGACTTTCTTAACACTTTTTGCGAGTTAGTACACGCTCACAACAATCATGTTCACTAAGGAGTGTTAAATACTCCACATATGCTATGTCACTGAGTACCTTGATGAGATCCTTAGTCTAGATTTGGTTATTATTGATGACCAGTGAAACAACTAGCTCTATATATCTAGCCATAGATAACTCGTTTTGCACTTGCAAACAATTTAGTACATTCATCAAGTCATCATACGACTGTGGTTTTCATATTAGTAGTGTCAACTCCACTATCTTATCCGCGAATGAACGCTGTGATGAAACTCAATAAAGTTTCGATATCGAGTATTGCTGAACACGGAGTTCCAATAGGTAGATATTGTGATTTGAATACTAGAGAAACAAATTTCGAATAGAAAGCCTAGAAGGTTTTGTTAGACAAAAATGGACCACTGATACTTGATTTGAAATGTTCGAAAACGCTCAAATTATAAATTTCTTCACTGTTGAGGATATTTCTGGTAAGTAACTGCAGTATTGAATAGCTGAGTTCCGTAATTGAGACAATGGAATGAAAGTAAGGTCTGTATAACTTCTAGGATGGAATCATTTTATTTTTCTTCAAAATGAGTCAGTCCCAGAAGTCCTAGATAACTAGTCGAAGAATCACTAATTGACTTATATGGTTAACGAATAACAGGCAGCTCAAGCTTCTGCTCAGAGTAATTATACTGTTACGTTCAGAAATCTGATAGTGAAAAGCTTGATGTATGTAACGGCCCGAAGTCCACATTAAATACATGTTTATTGAAGCAAACACGAACTATTGTTGCAAATCAAGATAATTCTGATCGGCCTAAATGTACAAAAGAATGACAAAAGCGTGATCGAAAGTATTTTCTCCAGTCTTTGTTTTGATTAAGGTTGTTTAAATACAAATAGTAATGCCAATAATTTCGACGAAGTAAATCTTTCAGATGACCCAATTGTTTATGGTATGTCAAATTTTAGTTGACATTTTCGACTAATCACTGGCCCCCAGACAGTTTTACATGTCTTGAGGATAAAACTAATTCACAACGACCTCTCACTCAATATTCTTTATTTTCACCTAATATCAAGTTTACAAAGTATATGTAGGAAATAAGATACAAAAATGGACAAACCAGAACAAATGAATTTATGAGGAAGGAAAAACTTACTCAGAAAAGTAATTTATCATTAGAATCAGTAATACAAGAATGAAAACAGAAACACCGGAAACACAATCCAACGGAAAAGATATTCAACTGATACACAATCCGATGTAAATATTCAAAAATTAGTTTTAACTGACTCAAACAAATCCACTAATAGGTGAACATTTTGGAGCTAAAAAAAACTCAAACTATGACACCGGCGAAATGTTTTTGTTCGTCTTTTACCACATAGTCTTTATGAAAACAAACATGTTGTTACTGATTTGCCAACAACAACAAGGTAGGGTGGCCAAAGCGCGATGGGTTTGATAATTTATTGTTTTGTTGTGAGAAAGTTTACGTGAGAAATTCTAACTTATTTGACATTTTACTATATGGACACATAGTTTTGATTATCAGGTAGCTCTCATCAAACGCTAATATCATTTTCAAATGTTGTCACCTGCTTTTATCAGCAGACCGACTCATATTTTCGCTTGTTCGTCTTTCCTGATTCTGATACATGCTTCCCAGCTGTTTCTTCGATCAGAAAATACTTCTGGGATAGACATAATCTTGAAAGGTCTTGAATGATACAACAAATGTGACACAGAGCTATGTCCCAACTTCTTTCAGCTCGATCATGGCTGTCCAAAGTGCAAATTCTTACCAGATCCTTTACTGTTCGATTATATTTTATTTCCGTGTATTTCCTAGATAATCTCAGGCAACAGTGAGACATGTAATATGAAATATGCTATGAGATTTGCAATTCAGCAAAATTCTATCAGCAGACTGTGTTTCAATACTACAGCGTTGTAATGCAGGGTGAATCGTCTGTGGTTTGTACCGAATGATGAATGTCATGGTGATTCATACAATGTGACGAGAATTCATTTTGATTTGATAATCACTGTCATTTATCCAATCAGTTTGATTATTCAGTGGGCTGTTGAGTTAGTTTACATGTAGTCTGTAGTACCACATGCCAACCTCTCCGTATATGGAATGGCAGCATATGAATAATTAGTTACTATCTGTCATCTTCCTACACCAATCAGAGTTAATCTTGGTGATCTGCTACACACGAACATTTTTTGTACATGTCCCTGTTAAATCTTCCAGGGACGTTGCACATTTCCACGTGTACATCATATTTGTGCATTATTTCATCCTAATCTTTTTAATCGTTATGTAAGTAAGTTGCATAACTTGAGACACAAATTTGTAGAGCTGACTAGAGGGTTAATTTTCCCGCTTCACGCGTACGTTTATTGTTCTGGTCTGTCTGATAATAAGCATACATTTTATTCGATAAATGGATAGACAGATCCGCACCCCTTAACGCATAAATAATAAACGTTCAACGAATCAGTAACTAGAAAATTGTGACTAGTAAAATTGGTGTGACTCGATTGAATCGACCACTGCATCTCTGTGCTAATGTGGTGTGGCAACTCGAACTGATGTACGTACGTACGAAGTTCTACGTTGTTATTGACTGACTGACTGAACGATGACAGACCTGGATGGTCAAGTAGCTATCCCAGTAGTGCTATCTTATATAACACAGAAACATGCAGCAAGCTCTATTCTCCATTGCAAGGTCTCTGCGAAATTGTGTTTGTTCGATCGCCAACCACCTTTGTGTCGCGTGACATTCAGCGGCCTCTGAGCGGCGTTGCAACAACATACTACAGCCAGTCGTAACCGGACCGAGCGACAGTGCATTTAGATAACTACTTTGCTAACTCACCACTCACCACCAGCTATTTCGAAGTACCATCAGAAGTTGGTGTGACATGCCCCTGTTCTCAACCAGGCACTGAGGATAGTGTTTCACGGACAGACGGGATAGTGTAACAATATTAAAAGTTATTGTATGTAGTCTTATTGATGTGAATACATACTTTTATTACATGACACGACAGGGTTAATATGCTACATGAGGAAGAACAACTGCATGTGTGAAGTGATATATGAGACTGTTTCTGAAATGAATTTACCCTTATGTAACAGAACCGCATTTGTTGGTTGCATGTTGTAATCACCCTCCTCAGACTTTTGTTGATCCTGGCTAGCATGCTGTTGACTTTAGATCCCTCCTGCATTCAAATAAACGCCGATAACACACGTTACACCTCTTTTTGATTGTGTTCATTGCGTTTGTAGAATTATGGTCTGCTATGATATTA